CCTATCTATTTCTATGTTAGCACCTAGTCGATATTCAAGTTACAATATGCATCATTCTATGGACTTTCTCCAATCCAATGATAAATTCATTTCCAATAGCATAATTTCCATTTCATTCTATTCTCCTGTCCTTTACTATATTCTGTTGAGTTGATAGAATAGGAATACAGTTCTATTCCATTTTTCCGACATAAATTATGAAAGGCGTAGAAATTAACTGATTAAAATTGTACTACTGACTCTACTCCTTAACTTTTTCATATTTCTAATTGGATAGAACATAATTCTATTTGAAGCTTTTAATGAAAATTTAAATATCTCAAAAAATTTTTAAAGTAGATCCAATATCATCATATGTCCTATTCTAATCTGTATGATATTGGCGAATAAAACTCTTAAATGAAAACTAACTCAATACAAGATAGACTGCTGCTTCTATTCTAATTCATGAAGGAATAATATACTGAAATAAAAATAGTTCATGACTTAGCTAAGCAAATAGATGGAAAAAAATACGATCTCGATCTGTGTGACATGACTACTAGAGCTATTAAAATAAAATAATGGCTTTGCACAATACAAAATGGATAGCCACTTTATTGATTTAGAAATTATAGATTGAAATGGCAAAGGGTAAAACCTAGTCAATCATCGATATAAAAAAGGAAGATGGTATTCTAGTCTATTCTCTTATGAGCTCCAAGGATAAAACGAATCCATTCGTAATACCTAGATTAATCTAACAAGAGATTGCATTTTACTCGCATTCCCTACGAGTGAAAGAAGAAATAAAAGCAATATTAACTAGCAGGCATTTCTAATGAAGTACAATGAAGGAAAAACAGGATTCTTGGTGACCAAGATTTGATTGATGGGTATAAAAGTTCATCACCTTTTCCTTCCAATCGATGAGAACAGTAGGTATTCTGAATGATTGAATACGCTAGAAATAGATGGACTGAGAAAACTGACAGACTCCCTTGGTAAAATTCATGTATAATTCATTAATTTTTTGAAGTAACTAGCCAATTTCCCTTCATTACTTGATAATGAAAATAGCTGTACTATTGATTTGTTAGGTTATAGAATAATTGCTACATATTCAAGGGTAAATCGGTGATAATAGTCGAGACGAAGATAAAAATAACCAACATTGTATTATTATTCAAGGATATCAATATTGTCTGATTCTATCAAATAGGCGTCAATAAAAATTTAAGAATAAAATGGAAGTATACGGACATCTTTACTGATCTAATTCTTTCAAAGGATGACAATGATTTTTACTTTAGGATTCATTGATAATGAAATTGTATTCAACAAGATAAAATAGAAATGGCAACATCAATCGATTTGAATGAAAATCCCATAAATAGAGATGGCGCAGCCCATACTCTTATGATCTATAGATGAAATAAAGAAAAGTGGTGCAAGTTATTGTTACATTGGATCTATTTACTTGATCCAATAAGGAGTTGTTGAAAAAGGTATTCATAGCATTCCTTGAGTAATTAAAAAGTGGGCAGATGATTGCAATCTTGTCATACAACTTGATTAATCATGACGGTAACATCCCTTGCTCTTCTCTAACCCAGTTGAACAAACATCGAACATCGAAAAGTGGAAAAGAAGAAGAAAAAGGTAATTTTCTAGAGAATACTCAATTCGCCAAGGCATTTAGCCACCGTTAAGCTTCCATTTTTGCATGCTTTTGCAAGGATATTCGTCTTGATCAGTTCTTTCCTCCAGGACAACTTGGGGTCCCTTTTCTTTTAATTTATGCTTAAACTACAAATTTTTTATGCTATTTTGGTTCGAAGAGGAGTTCTATAGCATAGAAGAGAGTGAATTTACAATTAGTAAATATCTTCTTTCATCCTGCTATCATTAACTAACCACGGTATGCTCGATCCACCATGACATTTAGCTATTGTCAAGCTCCATTTTGCTTGCTTTTGTAAGGATATTCGTCTTTATCAGCCCTTTTCTACAGGATAACTTAGAGTTGCTTTTATTTCAATTCGTGCTTTAAATCAAAAATTTTTCCTACTTCGGTTTGAAAGGAGTTCCATGGCATGAAAGAGAGCGAATTTGCAAGTCGTGAACATCTTGTTTTATTATTTTAAATGGGCATGGAATATAGACAGTTTCAAAATGACATAACCAAAGCGGATAAATAACTTCGCCAATGAATGTAGTAATCTTATACAAAAATTAATAATAGCTTAAAATTTTTTTCCATTACTGTTTATTCTAATCTTCAATAGCATCGAAGAATTATTCTTTACTTGTAATAATAATTGCTAATATCGATCGTGGTGCTTAGTAATCCATTTACTTACTGATCGGGTTTGTACGGCTGAAAATGAACCCCATATAATTTTAAAACAGCTTATTGCTCCTTGAATTTTACCACAAATCAGATCCAACATCAACGCGTTATTCACTGATATTAAAAAAAAGTTGTCTAATATTGTAAATAACGTTTCCTTAGCGGTAATTTCTATTTGTATATCGAAATTCTTACTGCTTCTACATCCCTAGCCCAGATCAAATCGGGGAAAAAAATGTCCAGCTCTACAGGTTAATCGATAGCAAATCTACTACTTCTACTTCTACATCCCTAGCCCAAATCGGAAAAAATATCTAGCTCTACAGGTTAATCGATAGCAATCGCTTCATTTAATCCACTTTCCGTGTTTTCAATTTTTCATTTGAACAGCAATCAATTTGTTTTTCCTCTTATTTGTTGATTACATCCAATCGGTGCTATTTAGATACCATAATGGCAATTATTTAAACTTAATTAGCAATATTAATCAGCAGGCGATGGAAACGATCAACGATGGTTACTATTTTCTCCATCTACCCTAGGCAAATTAATCATTCTAGTTTTATGAGGATAGACATACAGTTAATCTTGATTTTCTTTTCTCCATCTTTGAACTGATTAAGAATGCAATTTTAATTTTCACTAATTAGGTCATTAGCTCAGCATAATTAGCCTGGAAACTTTCAATTTTCAACCATAATTTAGCGTACAATTCAATTCTTTCTGCGCAAACTGAATGTTTCTTTCTATTTTTATTATGATGACATTAGCAACGTTGCATCTGTCATCGTTGCGCCATCCTATTCGATCATTAAGGCATATGGGAAAGTGCAGAGGAAACACCTATTAAAATTAACGACATATCAAGCAACGATTGTTGCGACATTAGTCCTGTCTAGTGCATAAAAGTGAAAAAAAGCGTGTCGCTATATCTTGGGATATCGTTAAGGAAGCTGCTGACGGCCATCGTAGTACAAAAGTAATTATTTCCAATTCGAGTCTGACGTTGCTAGTCCTTTCTAGATCATTAGAATCGCCGTCTCGATTGGAATTTAGTCTTACCGTCCTTGACTATCGTTGGCTTTAATTGAACGGGTTTCATCGTTGATTGAAAGATTGAATAGGCTCAAGGTGCCATTTCTGATCCTCAAAGTAAAGATTTGTTTGGAGAAGAAACCTTTAGGTTATTGTATTGATATCCGTAGATTGCATAAAAATCATCCGCAAAAAAAAATCATTATAAGCTCTTCTTTCCTTCAGGTATTACCTAAGGGTAGTTTAATTAGTCTTAAGATTTATATCGATCTTGAGACAGAGTATTAAATCATCGGTAACAAGAATCATCGTAAGCTCTTCTTTCCTTCAAGTATTACCCAAGGGTAGCTTAATTTATCCCAAGATTTTTTATTCATCTTATATGAGTAGCAAATCATCCGCAAAAAAGTGGCCATAAGCTCTCCGTTCCAAGACTTTTCATTATCTTAGACAGAGTAGCTATCATCAGCAGAAATAAAACCGCTATAAGCTCTCCATTTCTTCCAGTATTATCCAAGGATAGTCTACTTTATCCTTAGACATTTCATCCACCTTAGACCGAGTAGCTTCGACTACGGCGAGCGTCCAGGCGATTGAAATGGAATCCTGTTTAAAGAACGGTGAAATATTGTCATAAAAGTTTCATCTTCCACGGTTCCCCATAAATCATCGGATTAAATCCAATACAAGCAAGAATTAATATTCAAAATCGAGGGTACGTTGAACAGTAGGCAGCATCGCTAAAGGTGATAATTCTATCCCTACGTTCAACGTATGACAATATAAAATGTGCTAATTTATTTGGCAGATGGCGTGTTTATTATTAAAAAGGAGCAGTGAAGCAAAATCGATTTCCTACAATACCACTAGCTTAGCCATTATTCTTATCTAGTTTTGTCTAGAATAGTAAAGAAAATCCATTTTCTACTTTCCTATTATAAACTGCTAGCATAGCCATTATTCCTATCCAGCGCTGATTCATAAGCTCAGTTTTATAACAGCGGAGCAAAATCCATTTTGTGCTTTTCTATAATTTTGCTCGCTTAGCCATTATTCTATCCAGTTATGTGTTAAAACAGCAAAGCAAAATTCCTCTTTTGCTTACCCATAATATTACTCTCTTAGTCACTATTCCTATCTTATTCTGCTATACTGAGGTATAATTAGTATTCAGCATTCCATCAACCATTATTCTTGTCCAGTTCTGTTTTATAACAGCAAAGCCATATTCATTATTTGCCTTTTTAGAATATAAATAGCATAGCCAGTATTCCTATCTAGCTCTGTTTGATAACAGTGAAGAAAAATCCACTGTTTAATTTCTTCAGAATACGACGAGTATAACTATTATTCCTATTTAGCCTTATTTGATCAATTCTGCTTTATAACGGTAAAGAAAGATCCATTTCCTAATTTCTTAGAATACGATGTGCATAGCTATTATTTCTCATCCAGTTCTGTTTTACAACAGTAAAGTAAAATTGATTTTTTTACCTTTCTAGAATACTACAAGCATAGCCATTCTTCTAACCCCGTTCTGATCATCGGTTGCTAATAACTACCATTGCATGATTCTACTTCTTTTCATCACTGATTGCGATCTTGGAGCTACCATTAATTCTTCACTGACGCCATGGCAAGTATATTGACTAATGAATCTTCGACATTCATGCCTACTATCGCCAATAATCGAACCAGGCCAGCGCCAGCCTACGTTCTTGATCCTTATTTAATTATTATGACTAGTGTTGGAATTTCTATTATTATTGTCAATACAGCATTTCTGATGATTATCCTTCTCTATCGCCAACTACGTACTACTCCTAACGTTATTATGTGTAGCATGTCGGTGTCCAGCATTTTGTTCGCTCTCATTTACTTAATTCCTCGCTACTTTCCGGCCAGTGTCGACTTAATATGCAAGTTATTACCTTTTATCGGCCTATCATTAGCTTTAATCATTAATCTACATCAATGTGTTATTAGCTGCCATCGTTATATGGCTGTCGCCAATCCACTTACTCATCGTCGCCATATGACCAAACGTCATATTGCTATTATATTAGTTTTAGTTTGGTTATTGCCATTTATCTCTAGCTCTATACCAGCCATATTTTATCAACCTCTTAATGAGGGTTTTTGCAGAGTGTTCGGTTATGATGCAACGCCTAAACTTATCTTTTATAGCTCCATGTACACCATCTTTTTCTACTTGCCCTTATCTATCATTTTGTTCGGCTATATTTATATCCATATTACAGCTTTGATACTACCCAAAGATAGAAAGTTATTGAAACGAGGCTGTTGGAAATATCGTATTCATCGCCATCGTCGTGTCTTAATCCATACAGCAATTATTATTGAATTGCATGCACTATGTTGGGTACCATTTATTACCGTTACTATTGCTTGGTATGGTGGCTTTACTATACCTAATTTTCGTGTCTTAGCCGAGGTTTTGCGCAATATTGCATTAAGCTATCCAGTGATCAACCCTTTGGTCTATGCTTATTGTACATCTGGTATTCGTCGACGTATTTTAAATTTAATAGGTTACGAGAGCGCAAAGAGACCGTCTACCTTACGATCAACGGGTTTAGAATCCTCGTTAGCCTCTGGAGTAATGGGCTAAAGTCTTATTTAAATATACTTTGATTTCATCAAGCACGAAATTGGATCTCATTATACACGATATTTTCTACTACTACTGGACTGAATATCGCTCATGAAAAGGAATCATAGCTCATACAAAGTTATGGATTGAACTCGTTGGGATAATTATACACTTTGTAGCCGATTCCTAAAAATAAATAAAATAAGAAATGAATAAAAATCAGTATTTTGCACTTATAGCTATCAAGTTAATCATATCAAAATGTTAACAACTATATTCGTTCTTTCTTAAAAGTGATCTATTCCATTACTGTTAAACGTTACAAACTATTTATTTACCCTTTAGTGGATTGCCTTCTGTCTAGAGTTCCAATGGATGAAAATCTTAACGAAAATGTTCAATTGTGTATTCTATTGCTAATGGAGAAAGTGAATCTTTTAACGAATATTCGAGATTGGCGTCCTATCATCACTTTAACAAATTGATGGATTAATTTCAATTGCTTAATTATTTGATTGTTACGACTACTGCAGTACCTACTACACTATTAATTCAAGATAATCTTTAATCTATCGTACGATATAATTGATACTAAATGAAACTAAGAACAGTTTCAGTCCGATTTTACTATCAAAATAGTTAATAAAATGCTTTATTGATAGATATATCTTGCTGGAAGATAGAGCTGATGATAGTACTGCATTAAACGACATTGACAATCTTCTATTAATACTATAATCTGATTGAGGTATCCGTTAATTATTATTACTTTAAATTAAAATGGTGATGATTCAATAGAAGCAATTTACAGTTCTATACTTTATTATTCAGCATAATTTCAACGTTTTGTATGCTATTAGTAAAGAATCGTTAGATCACGAAATACCCCTTCAAATTAGAATAAATTGTAGGCTGCGATTGAGCGTTTAAAAATTAAAACTGAAATTATTATGTTTCGTTAGTATAACTACTCAGAAAATTTGATCATAATTTATTACCAGCTATCGTATGGCGATCTATGTCGCCGTAAAAATCTTTCTATAAGATTGAAGGTTATCATAATTACTTTTCATTGCATCTAGACCGTATATAATTGAATAATAATTGCTTGGTTTGTCAAGATAAAAATTTCCACTGCAATAAATCGATGAATAATTATAATTTATTTATTAATGTCCTTATGGATTATGCTCAAGTATTCATACAGGATAGTTTACCTTCACGCTTTATAACTCGTATATTAAAGTAATAAAGATTCTATTCGTCAAATCTTGAATGGCTGTTTGCGCAATGGGCTAGCTCGGTTTATAATATTGGGTAGTAAAATCGAAAAGTAGAAAATTTTATTCTAAATAAACAGATTTACAGATGATATACTACTTCTTGGCTAAGGTCTCAGGTATTGGTTATGAGATTAGATTACTACAAACGTATTTGGCTTTAGGTCCCAAATAAAATAAAGTTATTGCCAATTATCTTTAATTTTTGAAACAGCTAAATGGAATAGTAACTGTTACGAGATAATCTGTCAATAAACTCCATGAATCTGATAACATAGCTGAAGAGCGAGTGGAGAAAGACGGTCAGCAAGCGCAATAGAGACTAATAAAACACATACCTATTAGTAATTAATTAATTTATACATCTGAGGCTTACTCAGGAATTATAGGTTTTATGCAACACCATAGAGTCACGAATTTAGTCGATTAGCTTCTTACTGAGTACTATCATTTAATGACTTGTTCATGGCAACTTTGTATCATAGTCATATATGTATATGTTACATTAAACATATGTAATTGATTTAGATATACAGTATATATGTCGTTTACTACATATGGTATATCTAACATATGTAATTAATTCACAAATGTACTGTGCATTTTTCTTGGTAAATGGACTAATATTCTACTCCTTGAATAATCCCATTGGGTATGCCCGTAACAATGTCTTATAATTGACCATCTTCGTCTAGGATAAATTACCACGTTATCTCTTACGTGTACAGTAGTTTCTTTAATATAGTATTCCGTTTTGCAGCAACATACGAGTAGGATAGAAAATTACAATTTAACAAGCACTGTTTTCACTAACTTTATAAAAACACATAAATAATTATACGTAGGTGGGGCTTAGGATAAATTTATACGGATGTTGGAATAGATACTCCAAACATTTATTATATCTTCTTGCTAAAGAGGAAGGTGGAAAAACATCGTAGCATTCTAACCATGTCGACAGGAAACAAAAAAGTCTCAATCAAAACAGTTTTGGAATATTCGAAGCAGTTATTCGGCAATGTAACTGTACAAAAAATTTGATTAATTTTATAAAAAATACAAATTTATAATGACGAACTGAGCCAAGAATTGAGAATAGATGCTGTGATTATATTACTAAAATTAGAAAGATTCTTACGATTCACATACGACTATGAAAATTCATTACCCACTTAATTTGGATTAATATATCAACAGCATTTAGGCGTTTTGGAAATAAGGTAACGATTCCAGTAGATCTGTACGCTAAGATTTATGAAAGAATCTATGAATGAAGTACTGTCACATTTGTTGTGTTAATAGCAAATATTACTATAAGAAATTATTTCTCACAGTAGTATTATATACAGTAAAATAATTTCTAGTTGCCTTGGTGTTGTTGCTACATTAATATACACCGATTGTATTTTACCTATTATTGTAGATTGCAGTGTGGTAAATACTCGTATACGATAACATTATTGTAAGCATAAACATTTAATTTTGATATAGTCGCTATAATTAAGTCTTAGGCTGATAAGCATATCAAAAAATTAACTATAGACATTCACTTAAAGAGAACCAAAAATTTAAGAACGATTACAATAGCTTTATAGATGCTTATTTTCATCGATTTTGTAAATTTTGCCGCCATAGAATTCTCTCAAGATGATAGAATATCACATCTAAATCCATCAGTCTTCGCTCAGGAAAAATATTCAGTTTCGGACAATGAATTGATTGATAAAGTATGGCCTTCGTAATATTTCCATCTTACATCAGTTAAATTGTCTATTACCAAAACTTTTAAAGGCAATAGCCAAATTTCGATCGGACTTTAGGGACTTTGTGTGCTGGGATTTGAATTACCGCTATTATTACTAGAATTGTTTACGGTAGGTACAACAATAGCGACGGTGATAATTATCAGAAGGATAATGACAAGGACAATGATACAAATCAGTTTCTGTAAGAAAATCAGACAAAAAGTTGGACTTTAATAGAGATTGGCAAAAAATGAAAAGATATTATATCGTTATTAATGAGTACTGTATATCGATAAATTAAATAGACAAACTTTCCGAGCTGCCGTTTGATAGGTATGAGCTTTACTCAAATCGGTTGTTGCTCTTTGTACGTAATCGACAGTACTAAGAGTATTGTGCTCAATATTGTCTAACATTTCGCCTTGGCTTTCAACTAGCATGGCCATATCAAGAAACATGTCATGCAATTCCTGTAACAAAAGATTAGCGACAATTTACTATGCTGTGTGACAGGAATTACTGTGATATAAACCAGGGAATCTAAGATACTATTTGTATTCTAGATGTGAAACTGATGTGCATATCAGCACAATGCTTGTATATTATATTTTAGTACTCTTGTGACGTTCTACGTAAGCTATCATCGATAAAAATACTAACTTTAATACTTTTTTCGAGTTTCATAATATCGTCATATCGTTGTTCGATTGCTTCTAAAGCTTTTTTGGCTTCCTTACTGTCGATCATCATCTATACCATATTACGATATAAATTCATAAATATAGATTGTATAATTGTCATGGAAAGGGGATTTGTATAACTAAATAGTATAAATTTAAGAGACTTGTATCAAGAATAGCTATTTACTATGATATATATAGGTAAAGATAGTAGGTAAAATGACGTCTAGTATAAGATAGAATTAACTTACACCATCAGTGAAAACATTAAGATCGCCTTGCTCTAACATTTCTTCAACTTCGTCATCAGTGGTCGTCTTTCCAGCTGGTTATTAAGATTATTGTTAGTAACATTTACTTCTAGAAATATTATCATTTCCAAGTACATTACAATCGCGGTGAATTTCCATACTTATTTCTAGCTGTCTGACAATACGTGCTTTGCATTTCTCTCGATGTTCCACTTGCATAGTATTGTAGTCGGACATAAGACTAACTAGACGATTACTAAGTGCTGTAACCTTAACAATTCAAAAAGTATAAATGGCAACATTAATCATAGATGATTAAAAGCGAGATGTATGCGACGAGAAGAAATTTATGGGCGATCATTGATAAATGATTGTATCTAGGGTAGATTTATGTCATCTCTACAATTACGTTTATGGTATCGCGGTCACAGATCAGCAATTTATCTCAGAAGCCAATAGAATCAATATACGTTACGTCATTGTTATCATAGTATATTTGTTCACTAATTTTGTTAGATTTTCAGCAGCACTTTCATGCAAGCAGTGTTGACTCGTATTTCTCCTACCTGTGTTTGCTTTATCCGAAATTCAGCGGAATGATCATCTTGCCCAATAGTAGCTTCTAAGCCTGTTACATTAATAGATAGACGTATTGGCTTGTTAGTACGTAGTTGTTATGATAGGTTGGATAGGGAAAAGCTGTTGATATTATAGATAAATATTACTAAAAGTAAAGCGTATATTTAAACCTTTTAATTGTGAACGGATTCTTTTGGCCTTAATTTTAATATTTTCCATATTCTTCTCTAAACTTTCGCGTTTATCTGTGAAAAGGTTCAGATAGTTTATTCAAGTGATGAGACTTTTTACATGATTGATATTTACTGAAATTAGTGTTGCAAATACGAGAGTGGTATTATAGCAACTGCAGACTGACCAATATCAATGGATTGTCAGGATTAGATAATTATATCGCCTACATGTAGGTTTTACCTTCCGTTACTTTCGGCATTGTTATGAAATCGCTGTAGGCTTTAGCAACTTGGGCGAGGTTGTCTTCGATAGTATCTAATTCCCCTTCGATATGTTCGACCTGTAATATGACAGTATAGAAACTTTAATTTCATTTATGGTATTTGGTCGTTCTCTCTTGGCAGATAGTGACTAATATCTGAGAAGGTGTAGACTTGTATTTTCGTTTTTAGCCAAGTAATTACGGTATATTTTGTGAGAACTGCATAAGGTAACTGGAATGAAAGCTATCCAATTACAGTATTCCGTTCTATAGAACGGAATACCGTACATCATTGCGAGAATTAAAAGAGTGATAACCATTGATTTTACCATTAAATTAACTTGGTGATGATTTCAATTCTTTTCAATTTACTTACAAATACATTTAGAAACTCTTTTACTAACTTTTAAAGTTTTATTACTGCACATTCATGTGAATTACATCCTATTCCAAGGTAAAATTCATGACACTGATAACTACCTGGTTAAAGAAGTCTTCCATGAATGGCACTGGCTCTTCAATGGAGATTTCAATCCCTTTATCGTCGAGTTCTTCATCATCTTGGTTAGCCTGTACCTGTTCATCATTTATTGGTGTTTTAGTTAGGTTAATCAGGTGTTATTAATTAAATATTGAATTAGGATTATTAAATTAATCGAGATTAGCTCGAGCTGCAGTCCTGGTAGCGTTAGTAATTTGCTTATTCTGGCTCTATTTGTATTTCTTGTGATCTATCACAATATTAAGTTGAGGGAGGACGCGTAAAAGTGTTAGCTAATTTAATTTTTTAACCCTGAAGATGGGAGAGAATGCTTGACAACGATCTATAATTTATAATAGGCTTATTATGCTTGGTAAAGTAAGTCGACCGCGCAGGGATAAACAAATAAATCGAAATGAAGAAAACGATTGAATTTATGTAGACTGAATGATATTTTTGCTAGTTCTTAAATTGAAAATAATGATGGATTTCGAAAATCATTTTACCCTAAGATTACAGTTATACGAATGAGTAATGCCGTCATAAGAGCTGTGACTGATGGGTAATTAATAAGTTATTAACGGATAATTGTTTGTTTGGTTAAGTTTGAAAATAGGCCCTTTTTCTTATAAAGCTAGGGATACTTGAGTTGTCGGTGATATTAAGTTCAAACTGCAGAGTGAATCATCGTGGACGAAATTCAATTGAACTCGGCTTGTGGTGGAGTTACCCAAGTGGTTACTAGCAATGACTGAAGGTTTGAAGAATTTATCGCGGCATTGTCCCTCTTTTGTAAATAGTTGGATTTTATGTCACCGTAACTGATATTTCATATTGATAGATTAAAAGCATGGAAGTGAATCATTCATTTCTTGCTATATTGCTATTCAATGGTAGTTTTAACCTTTTTTATCTTTTATTTTTTTGCACGTTGATAGTGAATGCTAAGTCTAATCGTTTACGATAATTGCCCAAAAGATGAAGAGTTGATCATTTTTGATGCGTTTGTTTACAATTTTGTAAGTGTGAAATTTCGTTGACTACCATCATCCATTTAGCGTAGATTATGATGAATAGATAAAGAGAGCTAAGCTAGAGGAAAAGTAACATTGAAAAGTAGAGCCTGGCTTTGACCAAGAAAATGGCTACTCCTATCTACTTCTAACTGTATTTACAGCATAGGCAACAATGGATGCCATTATCCTGAGTTGATTGGATCAGAGGCTGTTAGGAAAAAAAGTACTATGGCGGTGACTTACTGCTTGATGATAATACTTGTTATTAGCAAAGTCAATTAGGTGGCCGTAACTAGTTAGGATCTGGATATCCATGGAGTTGATCTTGACAACAAGAAATGGCTACCCTTGGACATATCCGATAATATGGTACAGTAGTCTGCACTAGGTCATCCATTTATGTATTGTAATGCATAGACTGTACACTCCATTCTTGCATGATGTGGGAAAATGAAGTGGATAAAGCAGAATGAACTTGCGCCTAGGCAACGAGTGACTAGAAGGGTGCGTGGTGACTATTTGACTAAAGCTGGCGACTAGACTTCATTAAATTGTCGCCTGTTCATTAGACGTATTTAATCATCCTATTGGATGATAGCCCAGAACGTCATGTAGTGTAGAACCTAATAATACAAACATCAGCAAGACTATAACGAATAGCATTGATCATTTAACGACGGCTACTTGTATCATCCATTTCTTTGAGCCAGATCGATTTTGGTCTCCATCTCTGTCTGTGTGTGTGACATGCCTAGTCACATCTAGAAAAAAAATGATTGGTTCGCTAGCCTACGCTAGGTTAATTCATACCGCTTGAATTTCTATCATTCGGTCCTTCATGGTGTTGCTTAGGTCTTGCTATTCAAGAATGGAAAATAACTTGTTGAACAACTATCCACACAGATTCTTGCAATGATTTACAAGGTGGGCAAATGGCTGCAATTTGGTCTTTGAAAATTGGCCAGTGAAATTGTGCTGCTATCTTCAAAGCAGGTGATGAAGCTTTTGTGACGATTGTGATGGGTCGTCCGTCACCTGCTATGACTGACCGAGCCAACAGCGGATACAATACTGCCTAGATACAGCCATCGACTACTCGAAAATTGCACACTTTCTTCTAGTCAAATGACACAACACGCACTCATGCCTGAGTGATTTGTGTCTGCGTCCTTTGTTGGCCGTGATCGACGAGCAGTAGTACGACGTACACTGTCAGGCGTCAACTTGACTGGCTTCACCACCACCGCTGCTCTCAGCCGTGGCTCAGTGCACTAGGTATGCTGTTCGGTATACAGACTGCAATCCACCAACTGGCATCCTGTACGGGAGGTTTTTCTTCCTTCTACTGCATGAGTCCATATACAGTACTTCTGCACTACCAACTCGGCAATCCTATTCCAAGGTGTGGTAGGGTGGAGACGCAAATTATCCTACCCTTACATAATCAATAATGTCTTGACATTGGACAGGGAATAAAAATCGCCTTATTAGCTAGAATGGCGTCTACGAACCGCATGACTTGGACGAGTCTTGCATTAAAATCGTCATGATCTTAGGGAAAGAAACCCTCCAACTGTTCCAATGAAGAAGATTGCAATCCTATTCTAAGGTGTGGTAGGGTGGAGACGCAAATTATCCTACCCTTACGTAATCAATAATGTCTTGACATTGGACAGGGAATAAAAATCGCCATTAGCTAGAATGGCGTCAACGAACTGCTTGACATTGGACAGGGAATAAAAATCGCCTTATTAGCCAGAATGGCGTCTACGAACCGCATGACTTGGACGAGTCTTGCATTAAAATCGTCATGATCCTAGGGAAAGGAACCCTCCAACTGTTCCAATGAAGAAGATTGCACAATTTCATCCCTTCACCTACATGTGCGTACAGTAGCCCTAACCATTTTGTACCAATGACTTTCTCCACGTCGTTCAAGCTGTCCTACTGATACATTATGAGACATACTCGTATTGACATGTCTAAAAAAAAATGAAGTGAGATTGGACGATTTCTTCATTTTTTTTAAAACATGTCAATACATGTCTACATTATCAGTAAGACAGCTCCAACAAAGTGTACATTGTACAATGTAATTGATGCAAAATGGTTAGCGATAATTCTCGTATACGAGTACGCGTATAAAATAATCAAGAATAAAAATTGCAAATTTGAATTGTCGCTATGGACTATGGCAGTGTATACATATGCTCGTATACGCGTATATAATACAGTAATTAAAAAAGATAATCAAAAATTGCAAATTTGAATGGTAGCTATGGACTATGGCAGTGTACCATAGTCTCTGAGACATCATTCTCTTCTGGTAAGTGAGTAAGGATGGCCTGTTGTAGTGATCAGGCCAGCGTGATATTTTGTACAGCGTAGTTAAGATCGATTCAGAATTAGCTAAACAAACATCCAGGATAGTAATTAATGTGGAATAACAATTCATTTTATTCCATTACTATATATTCTAATTAGAAATGATTGGTGGTACAGGTAAATATTCGTTGAATCGTTCCATAGCAACCCTACCACTAGGTCTATCCAAGGTTTACAAAAATAGCAATATCATTCAACACGATCATGAATCATGATCTGCTCAATACATCAACATCTAGAATACAATTGTACAGCAGAATTCACATGCTATAAATTGTAATTAACTATCGAGTAGGAATAATAACCCTAAAAGAAAAGTCGATAATATGTTGTCAATATCGTCCACTAAAATAGACTATTGCAAATAGACTGCCATACCGCATGAAATGAATGCAGTCAAGAATAGAGCCAACTACGCCCAGTTCGTGTCCACAGTAGCTTCCACACCCAAAAGCTCAACGACGTTATATCATGTACATAGAAAAAGATCTATCTTTCCTTGCTTTAAGAATAGAAATGATTCAAGATCAGTTAGTATACCGTAAAATAGAATTAGAAAAAAATCCATCTGAAAATGGATTCAACCAGGCATACCACTACACAACAAGCTGCTACTCCAATTAATTATTAAAAAAAAGAATACTTTCCTAATGAGTAATTTTTCATTTTTATTCTTTGATAATCAGTTCTATATACGTAAGGGATAATACTACTGTAAATACTAAAAAGTGAGCACTCAGAAGTCCTATCCTTATTTGTGGCGCTTTAGTCCATAGTCCAACACGGTACATGGCCATGACATTCTGTTGGATGCATCTTTCTTTGGTATAATATAGAATAATTTAATATAATATAAAGAGTTCAAAGTCGGTTAGTATACCGTAAAATTACCGATCTCAAAATGGATTAAACAAGGCACAAATGCATGAGAAGCCCCTACTCGAATTAACTATTATTAAAAAAAATAGTAATTTCTAATGAGTAATTTTTTGGTTCATTTTATGTAGTCGGTTCTATATGCGCAAGGGATAATACTACTGCAAACACTAAAAAGTGAGCACTCGTAACTCCTGGATATCCCTGTGAGTAGTGCAATAGTCCATGGTACAATATTGTACTGTACAGTGTATATGGCCATAACTTTTCTGTTGGATGCATCTTTCTTTGGTAGAATAAATAATAATAATTCTAATTTTAATAGAAAGTGTTCAAAGTCAGTTAATATACCGTAACATAAAATTGAATTTGAAAAGTCGATCTCAAAATGGATTAAACAAGGCATCAATACGCGACAAGTCCCTACTCAAATTAATTTAAAAAAAAAAACAGTGATTTCCTAATGAATTATTTTACAAGGCATAAATACGCGAGAAGCTCCTACTCAAATTAGTTATTGAAAAAAATAGTAATTTCCTAACGAATCCCTTTTCATTTTTTTATTCATTTATAGTCAGTTCTATAAAATTAAACCATCGACAGGTGTATATGTAGTGCATTAGTCTGTGGTACAATATTGTATATGGCCGTAACATTCTTTTGGATGCATCTTTCTTTGATATAATAAATAACAATTTTAATATAAAGGGTTCAAAGTCAACTAGTATACCATAAAATAGGATTAAAAAAGTCTACCTGAAAATGGATTCAATTAGGAATCCTACACTACAAGTTACTACTCGAATTCATTATTAAGAAAAAAACCATCATTTCCTAATGAATAATTTTTCATTCTTTATTCATTTATAGTCCGTTCTATATGCTTAAGGAATAATACTGTCAAGACTAAAAAGTGAGAGTAATCGCAAGTCGTATCCCTGTGTGTAGTGGATTAGTCCATGGCCATAACATTCTGTTCAATGCATCTTTCTTTGATATGCTCGTAATAAATAATAATTTAATATAAGCACACAAAAGTGAGCACTTCTAAGTCCTATCCATGGCTACACTGTGTCTAGTGCATTAATACAGTCATGGACCACTAGAAGAAGACTGGTTAGTAGGGCAGAGTCCTATTCTGTTCGACGCATCTTTCTTGGGTATAACAAATAATTTCATAGAATGGCTTCATAGTTAGTTAATTAATATACCGTAAAATAAAATTGAAAAAGTTGACCTAAATGGATTCAAGGGACAATTACTCAATGGGAGCCTATCTGTGATGCATCTCTTGGGTATAACAAATAATTTCATAGAATGGCTGCACAGTTAGTTAGTTGATATACCGTCAAATAAAATTGAAAGAAGTCGATCTGAAAATGGATTAAACAAGGGCACAAATAGCCGAGAAGCTCCTACTCTAATGAGATATTAAAAAATAGTTTCCAATTGAATCCTTTTCATTTTTGTATGCGTAGCCATCGTACAGCACTACAATTCCATAATATTTTATTACTTTTGATGCATCTTTCCTTGCAATTTCAAAGTCAACTTGCATACTGCAAAATAAATTGAATTCAAAATATCTGCCTGAAAATTGAATTTAGACAAGGCATGAATAATAATATAATAATATGGTCACAAGCCATAGAAATTTGACACAACAAGCTCTTATTCCAATTCATTAATGATACTTATTATATTCCCCCCCCCCCCCCCAAAAAAAAAATAAATTTATATCCAAATTCCTAATGAAGAATTTTCATTTTAAATGGTCGCCGGCGAGCACTTGTCATTGGCGGCAATACTACGTCTAGTGCAGTACTGCAGTGCCATAATGTTCTGTTGGATACCTTAAATTTGTCTAGTGTAGTCGAGTAGAAGTTCCTATAGTGTATTCATACGAGCAAAATGATTGTCCCCCTTCGATTTCACACTGCAATTTCTGATACATGATAGTGGTATAGACTGCACAGTCGTTATAGTATAGTACAGTAGGTTAACAGTTAAGCCACAAGACACTGTATCATACGGACATCATTAACAGTATTGCCCAGTGGCCACTGTGCCCTAGCAATTGCCAGCGTTTCCACCATCAATGTAGCTCCTAAAAATCAAAATGAAAGGAAAGCAAACGCGTAGCAGTAACAAGTATAAAATTGATTGGGAATGGGCTAAAGAATCCACTGTACAGCAAATTAATCAAGAGCAAGTAGAAAAAGTTTATGGAGTTCATTTTAATTCCTGCAGCTTAACCAACGATAAGACTCATAGCAAGTAAGATATCCTTGTCATGCATTTTCAATGAATGAGAGTGATTGGGAAATGCCAACTCTTTCAGAATCAATCAATTTGATTCGTGCGATAAATTGCTTACTTATAATGCTATCGACTACATTTATGAATTTGCTTTAGAGATATGAGATTATAAATAATGAAACTTAGTATTGAATACAGCTACTTTTCAATTCATAGTGTGCAGTAATTCCAGTTGAATTTTACAACTACTTTTCTATCAAGTACAGATTGCAGTGGGGTATGGTGCTTTGCACGATACAATCACTAGCAAAATAGGACTTGTCTGCTTCAATTAGGTCTATCTGCTAAATTATAGTCAGGATTACTACTACAAATGGCATTCTACTGATAGTATATTTTTTTCAAAATGTATTTATAGCCTGTAGAATGAATTCTAAACAAGAGATCAGACGTAATGCACATTAGGAAAGCTACTAACCTCTATAGTAACAAAATTGACCACTTTTCACAATCTTACGTCAGCCATTGCTTCCAAAGCAGCGACATAACGGATACTTTAGCATACATAAGGCAATTGCTACATCATCTGCATATTCACTGTTTTATATTGCACCATACGAGAGGAATCTTGATACAATACTTATACTTTAGCCATTTTTGGACTTGCTTAGACCGTAATTGTATTGGGTAATCAATCTCCAGTTTGATTGCCATTTCTTGTTAGCGGTAGACATCCTGGAAAATATTCAAATTTCAGATATGGATCAACAATGATAGGATTGTCGGATGATGGTTTAACATGCTCTAAAATCTGCAATCTATACAGTAATTAATTAAATAGCATAGATAACACTGTAAATGGGTATATAACTTTATTATGATTCATGTTTTGAAACGCGTTAACCTATTACAAACAATTTAAGATCAAGTCTAAATAGGCATTCAAAATGAATTGAAAAATGCAAGCAGTCATCAATCAATATGGAGGCACTTTAGATAGATGGCGTTTAATTAGCTAGGATGAGTTATTCTTTGTCATGTATTACTGCAATGGGATAAATTAAATGATAGGAAGCCAATGAATAAATTCGTCAATGAATCTAGTTTAGCTAGGAATAATGTAATATTATCAAACGCCTATTCTTACTAATGACAACTTACTACCAAAAATTATAAAATGATCCAATAGTGATCCGTAGGTCTACATTAGGCAATTATCTCCCAACATCAATGACTTAATACATTACTTTGCAGACTATATTATGATACGTAATACTAATTAGTACTATACAAGTAGGAATATTTCATTTCTCATGTGATAAGCTTATTTTCAAATAACACATGTAAAATATAATACTGTGTATGTATGTCTAGATTTTACAGCAAGAGGCCACGTTGCATGGCATGCTATAATAATCATATCGCTAACTATAAAAATCAATTTTACATGGTTAACATAACTTTCTGATTCGTTCATCTAGGAGTAATTGTCGCAGTAACCCAAATTGCCTAGTGCATTTAGGGGAAGCGAATTGGATATCCAATACTGAAGGTAAATTAACGAATTGAATGACGCTGCAATATAATTAAGAAGTAATGATACTACATTACAAACATTCCCCAAATCCTTAATCTTATCATAAAAAGAACAGTATCATGATATCATAAGATTAATACACCTAAGAAATATTAAAAATGCAAACTATTGTACACAAACTATAGTAACATGCTTTTCTTTTCAAAAGTTGAGTCTGCTGTATACACGGAGGTCATTGAGAATATTGTCAGGCAAGATGTAAGTGTTGGGTGTTTTATCATAGTTAGTTGCTTCTATACTAGCTAGTTCTGATTATAAATTTTTCTTGATATTATAATAGAACCAATTTCTAGGACTGAGAAATCTTGGAGCTACCTGCTATGTTAACTCTTTACTACAGGTAGTAGCTTTACGTTATTCAAGGTATGCATTTCAAGTTAATTCTTTCTTTTCGGTATATTGTACAGGTTTGGTTTTTCATCTCTGATTTTCGAAGCGCTATTTATAGCTACCGGAACGATTTTGTTCGGGATAAAGTAATAAAAGTGGATTTATTAACCGATAAAGGATTTAGTTTAATGGGTAAATGGCAACATACTTTAAAATTCTCACTGTAGGGTGCTTAAGTATCATTAGTAAACACTCTACTTGCTAACTTATAACGTGTGTTATACATGTTTTTAGGGTTGGATGACAATGTTGATATAGAAAGCCATTATTATGAAAAAATTAATATAAGTAAAAAGATTAGTGACAGTATAAAATCATCTCAAGCTATCCATTCTAGCTCTCAGGGTCGACGAAGTCTGTTAAATAATTTATACGAAAGTGTACCTGAATTTGTTGGCAATCAAGAACAAATCCTGCCTGCACTAGCATCTATTTGTGATTACTTACAACTAATATTTGCATTTCTGCAATTTAGTAAGCGCCGGTAAGTTTCACTTATTCCTTATCTTTATTTACTAAATTAATGCTATCAGTTAGTTTGCTTTACCTTCACTGGTATGCAATATAACGAATAGTTCTTTATTTACCAGCTATATTGATCCATCACCGTTAATAAAGTTCCTTGGTCTAGATACCAATCAGCAGCAGGTTTTACTAGAACTTAAATGTGAAGTTAAATGTATCTTATTAACAGTAATTCTATGCTATGCATGTGTAATAATTTGCAATTCTCACTAGGATATCCAAGAATTTTGTCAATTAACCATGACACTTTTGGAGACAACACTTTCCTCTCAAGTGAGTTTTACATCAATCTTTTTACACAAATATTATAATGCGCTATAAAATGCTGCTATTAACTATTACCCTGATAATATTTTCATTTTGTAGCTTGATACAAAAGTACAAAGCACTATTGGGACATTATTTCAAGGAAGATATTCGTATATCACAAAGTCCTGCATCCCAATTTATATAACTATTTAGCAGATTATTAATAACGTAGAAAAAATACCTAGATTAAAACTGAAATATTAAATAACTTAATGTATTATTTATTATGTGAAGGTGTGACAGTTGCAAGTTTATCTCGGAAAGGAATGCTACCTTTTATGAACTAGATTTGACGGTAGCAGGGCACAGTACGTTAGAAAAGAGCTTCGATGACTTCTTCAAAGTATGAGGTTTTTCCTTCTGATATTTCAATGTTATTACCATATACGCTTTAGTTGACTACAGTATTTGAAAAATTAAGATCTAGGCTTAGCGATAACACATGCGGTCATTCTTATTGCGATATTACCATTCTATTGCAGAAGGAAAAGTTAAATGGACCTAATCAGTACTACTGCGAGGTGTGTCAGAGTAAGCGTGATGCTTCTCGATGGATTGGAGTAGATTCGCTTCCGCCAGTTTTAAATATTCAGCTACTTAGATTTATTTATGATAGGTATTACCCAACTAATTTATCTTTCTTACCTACCATTTTATTACATTTTGCTAAACATACAATTGTAATATTTAACATTGATATAGGAATACCGGCCAAAAGAAAAAGCTTAAATCTATATTACATTTTCCAGAAGTACTCGATATGACCAAGTATATAAGACATGCACCAACAGATACTTCTTTCATATATGACATAAAGGCTGTTCTTATACATCGCGGCGCTGGTACCCAATCCGGTCATTACTTTACACATATAAAAGAAGACGAGGTTACTCACAGCTTTTCTATGATATACAGTTTTGCTAAAATTATTTTGTATAACTCACCTCTATAATATTACAGTCGAAATCTTGGTATGTGTTTAACGATGAGGCGGTATATCAGTTAAGTGGGAAAAAATTACAGATAGATGAAGATTCAATGGAATCTGATGATCTAAGTCAATCGAGTAAAAATCCTAAACCGGTTAAAGGTATTGCTTTAATAATGATGATGTTGCATGGACAAATTATTGTAAGGCATTTTTCATTAAGCTAACATTCTTATTTTTAGCTGGTTATCACGCATCTCGCAGCGCCTACATGTTGGTGTATACGCGACGCTCTAGTATAGGAGAATATTCTAGCGATTTAAAAGAGAACGTGATTTTGCCCAGAAGTATTGTTAAAATCATCAGTGAAGATAACGTGTCCATTAAGAACTGGATCAATGCAGTTACTGAACAAATGGTTAGATTTTTAAAGTTGTGTCGCTAGTATTTCTAAAATCTATCATTGTTTTCAGCTTATAAAACTTCAGACTGTCTATATCTGTGTATCTCAGACAAAGAGTGAAATCAGTCAAACTAATACAATTCATGCAAATCTTGCTAATCTAGTTTAGATCTTACATTGTCATTTTGGCATCAGAGGACAATTGGAGTGATATGAGTTTCATTTTTTAATGCGCAATGTATTACTTTTTTGAATACAGCTAAGCCATACAGCTGCGATAAGCAATAGAGCGCAAGAGATAAATCGAATTTATCCTTCTCTGTCAGCTGATACAGGTACTAATATTTGATTTATAGGATCTTTCTTATTACTAATAACTCCTAATATATCAATGTTTAATTTCAATATTTGTTTAGATCAAACTTACGAATGGATTCCAACTGAATGGCTTTTAGAATGGCTGCGTAAACAAGATTTTAATTCTCCTATTGATAATAAGACAGTTTTGTGTAATCATAAGAAGTAGGAATTATCATTAAATTTTAAGATATTATGCTGTGGTATTGCTAAATTTAAACTTAACAGGTACTGTCGTTTATTAGATTATCACCCGATTCTGTTTCTATGGTTAAGAGAATCAACCAAATATATGTATGTATTTACGATATGTATAGCTCACAACTTATACTCAGAGCTATTTTAAAAATAGTAATTAATTTTTAATTAATTGTAGGCAAATGAATTATACAAGTTATATGGTGGAGGCCCCCGTCTAACTAGGTGATGAGTTACTGTTAAATATTGTAGTATCACTAAATATAAATCGAGTTTTTAATTGATACAGGGAAGATATGTGTAAACAATGTGTGGAGGAAAAATATCGAAGAATTCAATTTGATACAAGATTGAATAATGATTGGAAATTTATTAAATCTACCATAACCAAAACGTTACCAACTGGGTATTATAGTATATCTGTTTCGAAAAACTAATAGAAATTGCTTTGTTTTCGCTTCCATAGTTTTATACTTATTAAATTTGTTTAATTATGTAGACAAACCGAATTTTGGATTGGCAAAGTATCTCTTAGAAATTGGAAAGGTTTAACTATTAAGAAATTCGAGAAGGATATCAGTGAATCTTCATTAAAAACGACCACGGTAATTGGCTATCAATTTGTTATTAAAGCACATTATTGAGAATTACTATCCATTTAATCTGCAATTGTGTTCTTGCAAATATATATCATAGGAAAATTCGGAACCGGCCAAGGAAGATGCCGAAAGTGATGCTAACCTAGCAGCAGATAGTGCTACTTATGATGATGAATTTGAATTTAATCAAGATCTACTATGTGAAGAACATGGTATTTCTATAGCTAGTCGTTACTTTGTAAAAATTTCGGTTTTAAGATTGTTTCACCAATTAAACGATAATTTTTTAGGTAATTTAACCGCAGAGGAATCGAATCGACAGATAGTTAGTGAAGTAGTCTGGCTCATGTTAAAATATTACTTTCCTGAAGCAGCTAGCTATCCAGTGGGAACACCCATTTGTCACCTTTGCGAAGTAACAAATTAGTTTTTTAATTATAACGATTAGTCAATAGGAGATTATAACTTTGATGAAGTGATTAGAATATATCTTAGGTTAAGCTAAATTTGAACTATCCTACTAGGAAATCGCAAAAGCTAGAGTAGAAGATGAAGAAACTTTAAGATTGTATGCTGCTACTGAAAAGAAGATTCTAAGTAAAATATATAGTAACAAATCTAGACCGTCAATTGAGGATGAGGTTCGTTATTGGTATTAAAATTTTTCCTTTAAATGAATAAATTTATATTGCATATACCGCGTTTGAATATACATGAACAGTTAAAACTTTGAATTAAAATTGCTTAAAAACCGATAAAAGTAGGGTTCTATTGTATCAATAGGGAGAGTTTTACGTTATACCTTTAAGTTTCGTAAGAAAATGGCGTAACTTTATAAGGTACCTGATTAGTGCGGCTCAATTTATAGGCTAAACTATGGATATATTTTATTAGTAGTTTAATAGGCTAAAAGTAATTCCTGATGTGAAGGTCATATTTTCAATTGTAGGCAACCAATAGTAAAGTGTCGTCCTAAGCAAATTAATCTATCTGAAATTCTTTGCGAACACAATAAACTTCCGTTCGATCCTTTGATGGATCTCGATGGAGATAAAATGTGATTTTATTTGCCCTTTGTTAATGTATGCTGTCATTTGGGTTACTCTTGCATCGCATTCATAAATTTCTTCATCATTTGTTATTCCGGTTTGATGATTTAGTTACGTTAATGTGACTACAGAAGAATGGGTTAATCTGCTTAATTTTTATGGAACTACAAGTGAAACTTGTAAAGAAATTAAGATCACGGTTAAAGATAGATTATGTGAATGTTTTCCGCCATGTTGCCAAATCTGTATTGATAGCTTAATAGAAAGAAGAGCAACAGAGATTAAAACGTACAGAAACGCCAGAATTTACATCAGTAAGGAGAATCCAGATGATGAAAAGTGTATCGGTCCTTCTCATGATGAATGCGAGGTACGCATTTGAACTTACTGATCTAAATTTACCGAAATTTTAATGATTTTTTTCTTACTGTAGATGTATTAGCGTAGTATTTTAATTGGATACATATAACTAGCTATCTTTGATTTGATCATTTGAAAAAGCACCCTTATCTCCTATTTGTTGTCAAATAAATTAAAATTTTATAATTATTTAGAATATTCAAAAAGAATCTCGTAAACGTAGCATTACGACAATTTCTCCGTTGAGGCGTAGTAAACGGTGAGTTCTCGTAAATGGGTTGTTGGTATTGTAATCTTTACACCAGCGTTTACAAAAGTTGGATATTGAACTGGTGTCCATGGCTCTTCTTGATTTTAATACATTATAGATGTCGCCCCGGTGAAGTTGCAGTTACAATTTCATCTGATGAAACTTTACGCGATCTAAAGTTGAAGGTATGGTGAATAGATTTTTACTGGCACGTATTTATATTTATCTATTTATTGGTCAATCTATGGCTTACTATACGATTATTTAGGTTATGACTGAATTTCAAGTTGCACCCTTTGATCAACACCTTCATTTGAATGGTTGCGAACTATTTGATAATGACCGTACGTTGGGAAATTCAGGAATCTTACCCGATTGTCGTCTGACGTTGAAAGTACTGTATTTTAACTCTTTTCGTTTAATTTTAGCTATCGGATCTAGCATTTATTGTCATATATTCATATAATTTGTTTACTTTAACAGATAGATTTGCCTGTAGAAATAACTGAAGAACCCCGAGGTAAGATGAAGTATCGTAGCTTTTAATTTTTTATTAGATATGATATAAACTTCATATTTAGGGCAACTTAACGGTTAAAATATTTCTATTAAATTTGTAATAGAACCTGAAGCTGGATTTATGGGTATTACAAACATCGAATTCTCATAATATTTTGATTTCATGAATGTTTACGTCTTTCATGGGGATTATTTGCTAATAATTTCAAATTTTCTTTTAAATTTGTGTTACGGTTTTAGGTACAGGCCTTGTGAGTTTTTCAAGTTAAGCAAGTCTTCGATCTGAACTTGTGACAAAATTGATGTATTTATAACTGTTACATATAAATAACCCAAGAAAATTTCGGTGTAAAGGCCAACAAGGACAGATAGCTAGACTATTCATGTATATTTCGATTGATGATTGAGCTTTTAGAATATCGATTACGATAAACTCTATCATGTTGTGTTGATGTGCATAGTTTTATTTGCTTTGATATTTGTATAATAGTAAATACGTATGTGTATTTCACGTTTTGGCCAATAATGTTGAATATGATATAGGTACGAACGTTTAATAATTCAAAAATAATTGAGCGTAACAAAGTTTTTTTGCTGTGACAGTCAGCATTAACTGTCACTAGATGATAACGATTACGGTCCCTATACTGTGTAAATATATACAGTAATGATAACAAATGTATTATAGTCAAAACTAATAATGATTATCAGCGTATGACTGATACTTTATTAATTTCCTATAAATATCAAAATCCTAGCTTATTTGCTGGGCAGTGTATCATGAATGTATTTCTAAAGTATTTTATCATGAAAGTTTAATGTACTGTGTATCGCGGTCCATTCAATGACGGTAACAATAGTACTAATAGTTGTACGCAACTTCAATAGCTGGATTTCAATTGATGATTGAAGATCATGTATGATCAATAAAGAGGTATAACTTTGGTAGACATCTTGAGAATGAGCATCAATTAATAGTCAGTACAGTAGTATAGGGAATAAGAAAGATTCTATTTATTACAAGAAAACATTTCAGAACAATAACATGATAACCAGTATGACAGCAACGGCCGTAAGTACGATACACTACAGTAGAATACAGGTAGTATTAACAACATTTTTAAGATCAAACCTTTTCGTGTAATAGTTATAATAATTAATTAAGATTATCCGTCATAAAAAGTTGGTAATTTATCGCCAGAAATGATTGTTCGATTTATTCCATCTTTATCAATGGAAGCTAAGCGAATCACGCCACCTGAAGATCCGTCCCGAGACATTGCCAGAGCAACAGCTATAAATTACCAATTGAAAATAGTTAGATATTTATATAGATTTTGGAATTTGATAACAGTAACTAACGAACCTTGTTTTACAAAATCCAAGCATTCGTTTTTGCTCATATTAGGCTTATAGTGGGCATCACAATATCCGTAGATGTAAGTACTACCAGAACCTTATCAACAAAATATACGAGTAAGTACACAATCGCATATTACTTATCAAATATGGTTTGCATACTTTGACTCAAAGTATGCTACAACTCATTGATTTCAGATCAATTTCACTATTTTGGCTTAAGGTTATTTTGAGTACTTACCACCAATAGTAAATGGCCGACGTACGCACATGCCACCAAGAGGAATAACGTAAACCTAATCATGTATCATAATATATTTAGAGTGACTGTATTTAGATCTTAAGTAACTGTTACTTCACATCGTAGTATACTAAGTGCATATAGTTTATAAAATTTACCTGGCCACCCTTGAAGCAATCCCAACCAGCACAAATAATTCCTGCTACCATGCTGTCTCTATATCTGTAACACATGTCGCGGAATATACTCGACGCAGTTTCAACTAGGGGTTCTTCATCTAGTTCCATCCTTTGGTTAAGGATTACAAAATAGCAATTAGTTCAATTTTTAATCTTAAGGGGTGGTTTAAGACATTCAAAATCTACTTACTTGTGAAAGTTTAGGCTGTAGGCAACAATATCTGCAATTGCTTGCGTATCAGCAGCGGAACCGGATCGACAGCAGTAAATACTATCACTAATCCGCGTTAACTTGTCTGTTACCCGATTAACAACATAGGATCTAATCGATTGATTGGTTTCAATATTACCGCAGTTAATTTCAAGCACTAGAATAGAAATTCTGACACCAGGGTCAATACTTTCAATTTCTTTATCCTTACCCAGACGTTGTTCGAGAATCCGCACCAATTACTACGCCACCGTCGTATTCAACTGCCATAATTGTTGTCTATTAGTTGATTTAGCATAGGATAAATAGAATTGATATCATCAGCGATCAAATTCAATATTGCTAATAAATGATCATACGCGTAATTATTTTTACTTTATATCATTGCTGTAAGACAATACAACTACGATTGTAGAAGTTATCTATAGCGGTGGCTATAACATGTAGAACTTCAAACAGTCATGAGCGAAATTAGCAGACAAGGGTTATGTAGCAAATGTCAAATTATGAGACACTTGTAGCACATCAGTGAACGGATTTGTTTTCAATTGTATCCATATTTTCCGTGTGTGAATTATACGTTAGTGAGCATATTATGGAATAAAGCATGCCATTATAGGATTGACGTGATGTAACACCGAAATCTGTAGTGACGATGGTAAAACTGTAACTTCTGTGGATGCTGCTTCTCGTAGAATAATTAAGTTATTTGATATTTTCTATGGATTATCCTATACCGTGAGTATTTCGTATTTACTGTTCAGCCTGGAGTACACGAGTAAATAGGATTACGTTATTGCACGTAGGGGGGATTTTAGTGATTGCGCCTGTAAAAAGACTACAGTATATAGGACAAAATCAGCACTGATTGTTTGAGTTAATTACACTATACGAAGATCTTTAGGTCACCTACTACATCAGTAGAAATCGACCACTCTTTTATAGAATTAGTATACGATATGTCCTCGAGTCTACACTGGAAGAAAGTATATGTAAGCGTTTATCCACTTTGGTAGTGTATCAACATTATAGATGAAGGGCCACATAGAAGCTTTTGGTTGATGCTGCTTCTAATTCCCGTCATAATATGAAGTGGCTATGATGTCCATCTTAAACACCAAGTAGCTTCCTAGGTATTGGGATAATTCTATAATACGTGTCGTTGAGCTATGCAAAGATTGTAGGGTAGTAGTATAGACGCGTCTGGAATTCAAAGTACTAGACGCGATGTAAGTCTGACTACTAGCTACAATAAATTATACAAAGAAGAGCCAGCTTTGACATATCGAGAACAGCGTCATGGACGCTAGTCTAAGCTAGTTCTGGTAAAGTCTTGCATGTATAACTCATCACATAATAATCGATCGACGTCTAGCAATGTGAGTAGTGTAGTCGTGGTAAGTCAACATTGATTGATGATGGTCATACTGTAGAAAGATTGTAGATTTATGATTAGACATACTGATTGAAGTCATTCTATAACTGTTCAGCGATGCAGTAGTCTCTATATGTAGAAGTCAAGTGGCAGAACTAGAGTAACTGACCGTTCTACTTCGGATTAGAGTAATTATTCCCATTTTAATATACGATGTTGGCACGTTACACATTTATCCGATCATTGCCTACCTGGAGATCCTTTCATGCGTGTATTTCAAATCCATGATATTGTTCACTATAGTCTACACTATCACTCTTTCAATATGGACAATTGTTGAGTATCAGTTTTAAAACAACCATTAGAGGAAAGTATCCTATAGAATAGGGCTTATTGATTCACTGTTACTGCATAAGAGAGATTTTTTGATGCACTGTGTGCCATCCCTAGTCAGTCTGATGTAGCACTATCGCTTTAGCTGGTGATTGAAAATGTTGTTGGTAAAGAGCAGCGTCATAGTGACGTGAGTCCGAGTACTGGGAAATAATTATTGCACCAATCTTGGACGTGCCACTCATGGATATGGAACGAATAACATAGTCATCGATCGATGTATGGCTAAGTAAATAGTCCTGAATGACTGATGATGTATATAACCTTGCTGTTTGAACATTATGATCCACTACAGAAGATATCCATTTATCCATCGCAACGAGTGGAAAGGATAAAAGAAACTACAAAGACTAATGGATCGCTATAGAGATAGACTACCGTAGTACTTTTTTTGAACTCTACTGTATCCACATCAGACGAATACAAGCTGCAATGGACTTACCCCAGTCATCACTTCAGAATTCAGCCAATCTGGCGAGCTATCGCTAAAGGCAGTATCATTACTATTGGTTATTAAATTAACGGCCATCTTCGAAGGCTATTTACTCCTTAACTGTAGTCCAAGTTGCAAAAAATAGTCAGCGCTTTGCCTGGGAAGGAAAGGAAAGGCCTCGGACTAGACGGTGTTGGTGATCCAGTTTGCGCATGCGTATGATAACCCAAGAGCCACCATGGAAAAAATGAATTGATTGATTCTTAGCAAGAGACTGGTCTAATGATAGTGGATCCTTTGCAATTCTGCGTTCTATACGAAAAACAGTATGTTGTAGCTCATGTTTCAGTAGGCATTGCCATCGATCAGCCTAGGATTGTCAGGGCCTCGGACTAGACGGAGTTGGTGACCCAGTTTGCGCATGCGTATGACAACCCAAGAGCCACCATGGAAAAAATGAATTGATTGATTCTTAGCAAGAGACTGGTCTAATGATAGTGGATCCTCTTTCAATTCTACGTTCTATACGAAAAACAGTATGTTGTAGCTCATGTTTTAGTAGGCCTTGCCATCGATCAGCCTAGGATTGTCAGGGCCTCGGACTAGACGGAGTTGGTGACCCAGTTTGCGCATGCGTGTGACAACCCAAGAGCCACCATGGAAAAAATGAATTGATTGATTCTTAGCAAGAGACTGGTCTAATGATAGAGGATTCTCTTGCAATTCTACGTTGTATACGAAAAACACTATGGAATAGCTCATGTTTTAGTAGGCATAGCGATAGATCAGCCTAGGATTGTCATAGCTCGAGACATGGATTCTGCGCTGTAGGAGTCGTTTGGTGACTTGTATGTTTGAAAAGAGTAAGACCAAAGTATGACTGTGCAGTATACACACTAGCCCTTGGTACAGTACAGTACCCTTGATCGGAAACAACTGAGTTGTGTGAACAATACTTGTCACCATGACTTCATACGCCAACCAGAACTGGAGGAGGAACTGCGACAGCGGCTGCGCGAATGAAAGGGTTAACACATATGTTTTATTTTACTTTATACGGTACTGTGTACAGTATGATGGTCTCAGCGTCCGGCTATCGGTCATACTGTACAATGTACAGTACACACTGTATATCCATATTGGCAAAAACGACACAACGAAGTGTTGATACAATAAAACAAGGACGACAAGGTTTTCTTCCATTTTTACTGTCCTAACACTAACAGGGATCTATTGGCCGCTCACAGTCGACAATTTTTGTGAGTGGAAATGGACAAGCGTAATCGTACCCCCGGGTTAATAGTCCTAATTCTTTTTCTGGTTAACGTATAGCTGTACACTGTTACAGTATTGTGATCAATAATGGATCGTATACTATGAAGAGTTAGGGAAAGATCATGATATGTACAATATTTGGCTAGTTTCTGTTGTGTAGTAGGTGACTATAGGACCTGTACTTTCCCATTTACCCATTTTTCATGCTGATACATACAACACGAGTTGAGATAGTCCATTTTATGCTACGAATCTACCACGCACAGTATTGGTGTACTGTATTCGTAACTTGAACACATTTGATGTCAATTTCAATGACATATTCGCATAAAGCATCTTCTTTCCAATCAAATGATACCAAATTTGTCTAATATGGACTTGAAATTAAAATGTCCTAGAATTTCAAACAGTAGAGACACGCTGTAGTACAAGATCCTCGTCATAGGTAGAGTCAGTACCACTGTGCAAGGGCATCCAGTTTTTGAAGTCTATGTGGTCATGCTTGCCTATGGTGATAGCAACACCAAACATATGACATTGTTGTTCAATGGCTCTACAGTACAAGCGCATTGGCAACAAAAATACGTCATAACCTATCCGCAACCGTCAGTCCAAATTAGAACCTGTCCCTCAATGGCAGGCAAGTTTTACACAATATTCAGTGCCGTACTGTACCGATCGTAATAGTAGAACCCTTGTCTGCTTTTTCAATTTTCAATGACTCTGACTGTACCGTCTTGTCCTGTCCTGCTGTATTGAAAAAAAAAGAATTGTATTATCCAACTCAATCCCCAAAAAGGAAAGAAACGCTGAAACTTTTCAATTCCCAGGGGCTTTTATTATCCTCCTACTCAGAATAAGTTAATCCATTCTACGTCAAGACTTTATTGCACACTGCACAATCTAGGTTGAGATAAGTCATACCACCCAATTTTGACTTGACTGAATCATCATTTTTCTTTCCCTGATAGCGCATAAAATCAATTCATAAAAATGAAAAATACAGTACGGTAAAATCAGCTTTGAAGGCTGCAACATTCCTTTATGTGACGTTGCACAGCTGTACTGAACCGTCATGGCGTTGGCACGGTAATCAACCGGAACTGTAAATCACTTGTACTACAGTTACTGTACCATACTGTAGTACTGCATTGGAGAAATTTATTTTGCATATACAGCCAATGGTCAATTTTGGATTTGGTTGTTATACTGTACGACAGCAAATTGTATTACGTGTATTACGGGCGTACAGTATGTCACACATACGCCATTACTCCGTTGGTTGTTTTGGCTAAAGTACCGCCAGAACTGTACTGTACCGATACGGCAGTATTGGTAGTTTTTGGGGAACGTGCACGATTGGACTGCAAAGTGATTTTCTTTCCAAATTGGAGCCATTTTCAAATTTGCAATAAAGCGAGTCAAAAAGCGTTCAAGACACATTTGAATATCGAGTTAGATGGATAATTTATTAAATGACTTTGACGTACATTTTTTTCAGTCATTCTTTAACGTAAATTATGAATGAAATGAATTTTTGTCCGCGAGTTCAACATTAAAATTGCATTTCATTAACATAGAATAGACATTACAACGTAGCACGGTGAACAACAAACAATGGCTAAATAGTTCAGCGCCTTTTACTGGCAATTTTTTGGACTCTAATTTTGTAACAAGATGCGGCGACTGATTAAAATTGCAGAAATATTCGTAATCATAACATTTAAATAGAGTTCAAGTTAAATTCGGCACCATTTTCATGTAGTGCCACTATATTGAAATCTACATTTTGAAGTCAGTCATCTACACTACATTATACAGGTAAATTTGCTTTAGGGGTTATCAATTTCTCTAAGCGCGCTCTCCACGGATTCGGCGGGCAAGTTGGATATCTTTCGGCATAATTGTCACACGTTTAGCATGAATTGCACACAAATTGGTATCTTCAAACAATCCAACCAAGTAAGCTTCAGCAGCTTCTTGAAGGGCTCCAATAGCGGCCGATTGGAAACGTAAATCAGTCTTGAAATCTTGAGCAATTTCACGTACCAACCGTTGGAAAGGTAGTTTACGGATCAGCAATTCAGTGGATTTTTGGTAACGACGAATTTCACGAAGGGCAACAGTACCAGGACGATAACGATGTGGTTTTTTCACTCCACCAGTGGAAGGGGCACTTTTTCGAGCAGCTTTCGTTGCCAATTGCTTACGTGGTGCCTTACCACCAGTCGATTTACGAGCTGTTTGCTTAGTACGAGCCATGGATTTTTTTCAAAAAATTTTCAACTGTGAAAAAAAAAGTAACGGCGGAAAAAATGATTTGGCGTATCTACTGTAACGTACGAAAGCAGCGGTATCCAATCTAGAATGAGGTGACGGAGGATTTCAAACTACTTTTTATTACTGTAGTTACCGTGTACTGTATTGCAAAACACGACCAGTAAAATTTCGCCAATACAGTACTGTACAGTTATGATAGCTATAATAATAGAAAACAATTCCTAAAAAATGATCCAAGTAACAAACACAGCTAATTGCACTGTCGAATTTGGCAAACAATGTCACGCATGCGTTACAAAATCGGATTTTCGATCCAGATTGATTTTTAGAGCTCAATTTGGAGCTGAAATGAGCTATTGGAGCAATTATTTTCCCAAATATTATCTCCCTTTTCAAAAGTAGTCATAGCTTGATAATCACTAGGTATATCAGTATCCTATTTAGATGTAGTATGACAATGATTATCAATGGTCTCAAATCTACATTCATTTTGGATATATACCCATTTTTTTAATTTATTGACAATTTCGAATTATCAAATTATTTGCAAATCGACAGCCATCTTCTCAAATTACCCGGTAACAATCTCCTCAATGTACATTGTACAGTACGGTAGAGTACTTATATTATCCTTTTACTTTATATAGTGTACTGGTGTACTGTACAGCCGTATACGATGTGCTTTATTGTCCAGTCCAGTACGGTACGGTACAGTATGGTACCGCAGTGTTATTACACTTTCAACTTGGCTTCCACAGTACAGTACAGTACTGTACAGTACATTACAGGGTCTCTACAGTACATTGTACAATACAAAACAATACAAAGGCATCTAGTACTGTACTGTTATGAACTTCTAGAAATTACTAGTACAGTACTGTACACAGTACAGTGACCCTGTACAGTATACTGTAGTACTAGTACAGTACAAACTGTATAATGTACAGTACTGTATTGTACAGGAAGCATTTAAGAAAGGAAAATCGTACTGTACTGTACAGTATTCTCTCCACAGCACTCTACGCTACAGTAGAACTCTCCATCCAACAAGGGCTTTACTGTACTGTACCATACCGTACCGAGATCATTTCACAGAGAGTGACTCACTAGTACAACAGTGTCAGCAGCATTGCAAAACAGTTCGCTAGTTGAACGATGTACGTCAAAATACCACTCTACGTATACTGACTATACAGTATAGGCCATATATGAACATAACTTGTCCCTTTCACATGACTCACGATAGGAGTACTCCACCCCAAAAATGTGTCTGATTTGTCCTTTTTGGGGGGAAAAAAGGAGCGCAAATGAATCTTATTATACTGTACGCTTATAGTATGCAACGATCGTAGATGGAGTAGATACTATTTCATGTTCTAAGCACCTTTTGCACCAGCTAACACCAGCAAAATAGCTGGATGCTAGACGTAAGAATCTGAAGCTACCCTACTTACTGTACAGTACAGTGTACAGTACACAAACTAGACATTTCATTTTAAACTCTAGCCAGTGTTTTTTTCAATTTCATGATTACACGCACAAGCTAAAGCTTGCACGCATCATCAATCGTCGTTAAAACTTTTCATAATGATGCATATTCAAGACAGTATTAGGCATATTTCAACTGTATTCATACTGTACTGCTAATACAAATGCTTAGTGTGAATAAAATCCCAAATTCTTACAATAACTAATTTATTTTTTAAACTTTTCATAGTGATGCATATTCAAGACAGTATTAGGCATATTTCAACTGTATTCATACTGTACTGCTAGTACAAATGCTTAGTGTGAATAAAATCCCAAATTCTTACAATAACTAATTTCAGGAAAAAATGCTGCAAGCAGGCAACAGTTCATTGTTTATATCATAGCTAGCAATGAATACTTTATTCAGCTAATATGGAAACATAATCGTAAGGCGCTCTTCAAAAGCTATTATTAAAAAAGATTAAAACATTTCATAATATTTTCATTAAATTAAAGTTTTCTATGCACGAACCAATTTGAATTGTTAGCAGGGGTAAGCATTACTAATATCCATAGATATACTCTATAAGTATTGTCATATAAATCTCAGTGCGTTTTCCAATTTATACTCGATATTATATCAAAGTTATGAGCAAAGTTTTCACTATATTTAACTTGCTGGTGAAAAATAATTGCCAATCACTATCATGCCTACTAATAGTATAAGCAACTCAACGTACAGCAGCAAAATGGATCGTTTAAGAATAACAAGATTTAGCTTCGAAATGCACAATATTGAAGCCCAAGCGAATAAATTAAGTTTAAATAGTTTAAAAATGCTGGAATATGATCAGTCTTAAAAAACTATTATCCTAAAAGGAAATGCTGATTACTAATAATATTCGAGCTATAACATTAACTTGAGTCATCTTCCCAATTTATATAAAATAAGTCAGCACCCGTGTACAGTTCGAATGTACGCGTACGCGTATGTAACATTTATGGAAGGTGATATTAAAAAAAAGGTAATAAACTACTTTCGAAAAGCTTTGCTGACAATGGGTTTGTTTCCCAATATTTCATCGATAGAATGCATCATGGAATGATCCAATTTTGGTAATATCTAAGTAACATAAATAATGATAAAGAACAACATTCACCATTTTTTTGCTAATTTAAAATGCTAACTGATATGTCAATACAGGCTTACCGCTATTGCCGTGATGTTCTCTTTCAACTGATGAGAATTTTTAGCCCCTAAAAGCACGCAGTTCGCACGATCATTCTTTAAACACCAAGCAATAGCCAATTGGCATAGTGTACAATCTATTCGATCGGCGATAATTTGTAGTTCCTTTAATTTAGCTTGCATCCGTCTACCTTCTTCACTTTGAATTTTTTCTCTCCACCAATCGAAATTCTAACATATACAAGATATTAAAGTTAAATCAAAGAGGGCTTTGTTAAGAAATAGTCGTGTATAGATTTTGCATGAACTTATTATTGATACTAATTTCATGAACGATACCGACACTCAATGACGCTCGAGAATCTTCCGGTATTGTGTCATCCATGTACTTTCCACTAAGTACACCACCAGCTAATGGTGACCATGTAACCGCACCTACACCTGAATGATGGGTTCTAAGATTAAATAATTATTTACAGATGTCATATTATGATGAATTAACAGAGCTTACCACATTTATCGTATAAATTTTTTTTAACTGCCTCCATCTGCTCACGACACATGAAGTGATACCTGCGGGTAAAATATGATGATAATTGTGTATATAAGGCACGAGTCAATTAAGAGAAAGTGATACTTTTATACATTACTAACTCTGCTTGAATCGCAGTAGGGGGAATCAAATTATATTGTCTCGCCACGGCATATGCTTCCTAAAAAAGAAATTGTAATATCTTCTATGAATGAAATGGATATTAATAAAGTAGCAATGTTCTGTAATAAAAGGACTAACCATAACATCAGCTTCAGTCCATTGCGATACCCCCCAATAAAATGCCAAACCTATGAAAAACATTATTTAGAGTAAAAACATAAGATTGTGGATAAAAATTCTTGATAGGAAAATTTTTCTTCCATGAATGTACCTTGATTTATCACAAAAGTGAACGCCCGAACAATTTCTAAGGTGATAAATACGCGCATGTAAATTATTCAATACATCAAGATTAGAAACAAATCAGTTGATCTGTAGGCTACAATAAGAAGGTCTAATATATGCCTTTATAATATCTTTACCTTCCATTGGTGTCGTAGAATCGGGCCTATTTGCAAAAACAATATCCACGTATTCTAATTGTAAGCGGTGTAGCGAGGCTTTTAGACCTAAAAGACGAAAAGAAACACAGTAGATTAGTATGAAAATACTGAACAAAGGCAAACACTATCTGTAAGTGCTGGAGAAAAAACTTTTTATTTTGTAAAATCGATGGAGGATTAATAGCTACGCACGGGGATTGCCGTTGTACTTAATCACTTTGATAAAGATTATAATAAATACCTTCTATAATATGCTTTCTAGACAGGCCTTGCTCATTTTCCCCTCTAACGACAGACAGTAACATAAATTACATTGTACACACTTTATTAACTTTAACTTTTAATAAATCCAAATTGCAACCTTCCTCCCCAAAAGATCTTTGTACTTATGACCAAGGTCGAGCGCCTGTATATAGTAAGAAGTAACAACCAATCAATCATTAATTCTATTTGATATTTTCTATTTATATTATAATTTACATAATGTACTACTGTCGATATATGGCAAATGTGGTTTTTCTCTCATGCTTTGAAATTTAAGTGGTAAAGAATGTAGCTATTCTTACTTGATACTACAATATCGTTATGACCAATTTGTATTAAAAAAATCCATAAAATTTTTACTCAGCTGTTTCTAATTATCAACTTTGGCAACTATGAATGAACTATAGATTACAAATAGCAATCTCAATCCTTTACCTCCATTGCTTCTTCCGTAATACCTGACCTAACACAATTTCAGCTCTGCCAACAAGAAAAGAAGTATGATTGTTAGCTTTACATGCTTATTCATGACTACTAATCATAAAGTGTATGATGTAATTATAATACAACATCTACGTTGTTACAAGATAAAAATGACTGTGTAGTGTATATTTAGTGTATCCCTTAGTGCATAGTATTACGTGTCAAGATAAATGAAAATAGTACAACTACGTGCAGAGCAGTAAACAACTAAAATTTTACTTTGTCATACGGCTAAATTTTAAGCTATCTAGAATAGAATATATAGCACATCTTACTTTCCACCAGCGTATACTTCAGCTGTGTCGAAGAAATTGATACCATTTTCATATGCGACCGTAATTAATTCTTCAGCATGCTTATCAGTGAGATCAATAGTAATACTTAATATAGCCATATTAAATGAATAAGTTGACATCGCTGATAATGATACTATTGATTAGATCAAATTATCTTGGATAAATAGCGGAATATTAAAAAATTTATGATTTTATGAAATTATTTAGTTATACAATATTATACTTTGTCGGAAACTTGAGATCCGAATGTTACCCACGTTCCTGCAATTATAAAAATCATGATAAAGTATGAGTATACTGCTTTGATTAGATGATTAAATTAGTACTGCAAGCTATAGGGAAGACTGAGAGAGCAGAGATTCTATTTTGCTCCGCATTGATTTTAGATCGAAGAATTTTTCAACTTGTACGTTTGGTTGCAACGCAGAGCCACAGTGACGCAAGCTTGCATGCAATAAGATAAAATGAGGATTGCAATTCATAATAAATATATATTATAATTTAAGAGAGAGAGTTTCAGTATCATGGCACACTCAATATATGGAAATTCAGTAATTCATGAGTTTACTAAGGTCCATTCTTTACAGGTTTACTGCTCTTTTGTTGATTACATACAAGTGAAGTTTATACTACAAATTGAAGTATTTTAAGGACAAAATGATGGATACTGTACGAAGTAGCTCGAACAAATTGATGGCTGCAGCATGTAGCCTTAAGGATAAATGTTGTATTGCATATAACAACACAGCAACGGCATTCCATTTATGATACGTTTTCATCATGCAGTACAATTGATCATATTAATTAATGCGTAGTACGTATTATTACCGAATCCCAGAGCAGAGACTCGGAGACCTGATTTTCCCAAATTTCTAAAATATTAAAGTTAGAACAGGATTAGTAGATAATAGGGTGTAAAATGAATGTAATTGTTATAATGAACTGAGTTACATCAAGTAATGCGTATATGCAAATATGGCTGAGACTATAACGACCCTATAAGCAAGTATTGGGCGATGAGGCGAATTCACTTTAATTGATAGTCCAGAATTGAATGATCGTTTTTAATTCATATACGTATTCTACCAAGATCTCCAGCTGCAGTTGCAGTACGATTATGTGGCTACCGTATTGCAAGAATTTTACTGATTCAATACAACAACTATGCGATGGTCGCTTCAGCAAAGCATTTGTATGACTATATTGTACTGTAGACTACTAAACTCCTATTCCTTCATTCAATAGTCCATCGTGTAGTGGCACTGTGCAGTAAGATTAGCCTGGTTGGATAACGTTCTTGCAGAAGCATAGTGAAAGGTTGAAAGCAGGCTAGATGTGAAGTAATTAGCTTTTTTAATTCTGAATTACTGTATAGCCTATACAATATGATTATTTGTTCTTTCTTTCGAGTCGATTCAAATATTCGACGCTGAAACGAAATATACGTTATCATACAAGTGGAGCTGTAGGCACGAGTAGAATGTTCAATCACATGCAAAACATTATGGCAATCGCTCTTTACAGCACATTACTCTCTTTTAAAGTCGTTTTATAGCGATGGAAAGGTGTTGCCGTTCTCCACAAATCACCCATTCATAGATATTATTATTATTATTATTGTTGTTGCACTGCATGAGTATGCAAGAATGACAGGTTTTACAGTTGTGTTAGCGAACTTGCCTGTATAACATATTTACCGTTGGACGCAACCTGATGAATGGGAAGAAGAGACTGAAATAAGATTGAACAATTTGATGGTCATTCAGTTGGAGAGGGAATAACTGGATAACATTTTAAAATGCAATAGGTGAAATGAGAAAGCGAGACCGACCTTGTTTTGCAGGATTGCCAAGTACTGCGATTGGGTGATGTTTTATTGAATAAGGTCCCCCACCGGTGGAACGTTTTGACACAAAGCCTGCTGCACACTGCACAGTACTGTCTAGTGGTACACTCAGGACAGTATCCGCGGTTATCATGGTGACCACGACGGATCCACGACTTGTCACCGAGGTCAGGCACACTTTCACCGGCATGCAGAGTACAGTACAACGTCCACGCCCGTATTCATCGGACGGACGGATATGGTACAGCACTGTGCGTCAATGACGAGCCTTGTTTTACGGTGTACAGTACACCTGATTGATGAAATTATTCCATGCTGCTACTGAGTGTGCACATCGTTGCAAGGGTCTTACCACGCCCATATCCGACGGACGGGCGGACGGTACAGCACTGCGCGTCAATGACGAGCCTTGTTTTACAGTGTACTGTACTGTGCAGTGTGCACCTGATTGATGAAATTATTCAATGCTGCTACTGAGTGTGCACATCGCTGTAAGGGTCTTACCACCGCACACTAGGGCACAAATGCTTTCAGTGAAGAGTAAAAATAGTGTGGAAAATACTGTAGGGTACTGTAAAGTAAGTAGTCACCAGCGTGCTTTTGTTGACTGTTTGACTCAATCGAGTTGGATGTGCATGACAGGTTTACTGGGCCCACAGCAAAGCCATGTTGGAGTTGAGTCATGGTTCAGTCCGTTACAGCTCGTGAAAGCGGACTGCTGAAGTGCAATTGTTACAGTACAGTACAGTACCGTACAGTCCTATAAAAGAGAAGATCGCTAAAAAAAGTCTTGACAGACTGTACACTGTACACTGTACAGTACAGTACAGTACAGTTCAGACCAGGGTCCGGACCAAAGCATGAAGACCTCGAACTACAGTACTGTACAGACGGTCAATTACTGTACAGTACAGTATTGTTTACAGTACAGTACTGTACTGTAAAAGAAAGGAGATCGAGAAACGTACAGTACCGTACTGTCGGTTTTCCTCTAGTACAGTACTCAGGTCGAATCAGTCAGTATTAATCGAGTTCTCAGATCCAATCTAGTCCTCGACTGTTACTGTTGGTGTGCGTCCAAATCAGAGCACAGACCAACACCGACTGGAGTGGACTACTCAGGTCGAGTCTAGTCCTCGACTGTTACTGTTGGAGTGTTGGTGCGTGTAAATCAGAGCACAGACGGACAGACCAAGACTGACTGGAGTGGACCTACTCAGGTCTAGTCCTCGACTGTTACTGGTTGGTGCGTCCAAATCAGAGCACAGACGGACAGACCCATACTGACTGGAGTGGACCTACTCCGGTCTAGTCCTCGAGTGTTACTGTTGGTGCGTCCAAACCAGAGCACAGACGGATAGATCAACACTGACTGTCAAGCCAAAGCACAGACGGACAGACCAAGACTGACTGGAGTGGACTACTCAGGTCCAATCTAGTCCTCGATTGTTCCTGTTGGTGCGTCCAAACCAGAGCACAGACCAACACTGACTGGACGGGACACAGATTCCACTACAGTACAGTGCGCTCAAGGCTGTATACAGTACAATATACTGTAGTCGAATTGACTGTTTCAACGAGGAGTGTTGCTTACTTTGCCGTTTATGATTGCTGTTGCTTATTTCTACTGTACAAAAACTAGCAGATGAGACAAAAGTGAATAATGAACATGTCGCAGGTAAATTTGGATTCATCTGTTAGGGATTGCATCCAATATGATCGCAAGGCGATGACCTCCATTCTAGTCTAATTTTAATGTATGAAAAAAAAAAAATTGCCTGATTTTATTGTTGTTGTTGTATCGTGCTTGTTGTAGGCAAATGTATCTGAGACTTCGATGACTTTCGGCCCGGAATGGTAAGTCTGTATTGATTGCGTAGCGTAGGTCAATGAGCAAGCACAAAATTGTCAAAATCCCATGCCTAGTTCAACGCCAATCCTATCTACTGTTAACAGTCGAGCACAACATACTACCATAATAGGAAATCATCCAATAATCATCCGCACAACATTGCATCGCCAAGCAAGCATCCTGATTTGTTGTCAAAGGTCGCCACTACACTGTAGTATTGACTTGAGAACAGAGCGCTACAATGTAAGCAACCACGGTACCGTTCATCATGTGTCCATCATTGGACGACTTTTCCATGCTGATCATAACTGGATCCTCAGCAAAGTATTTCATTAACTCACTTTGGTACCCCCCCCGATTGAAGACCATCAGCTTTCAATTTTAGTATTGACATCATGGAACCGATACTGCTTCATCAACAAACTTGCTTTCGAGATGAATAGACGCATGGACTAGATGTGTTGTCCAATAACACTGGTCTACTACCGTACGGCTTCCATAAATCGAGCGAAATGACTCCATGAACCATGTCAATACAGTACGAGAACATGGCATGTTGTTCTACAACTAGTGTATACTTACATCGTACTCCAGTGACTAGCATTTAAAGCAACCTTACAGTCGTAAGATATTTGGCGCACTATGCATAACAGCAGTCCGTAATAAAGTAGGATTCGACTCAACCTTCCTTGCTAACTCGTTCCATTCCATTTTGCTAGGAATATAAAAATTAAAAGCCAAACTTTGTACAATCGTAGCGATCCAAGCCTATTCAAGGTGATCGCCACACGATTAAACAGTTTCCTGATTTCCATCGTTGCTCCTTTTAGTTTACACTCGATCCTACGTTGTTTACAGTACTATAGACAAGACTTGCTGTTAACAAGCTGACTTGAAGGATAGCGTTTTGGTACTGATACTGTCCAGGTGTAGAATAGACTAGACTGATGAACTTTTTCCTGTCCACGTCCATACTCTCTACCCTTGTAACATAGTCTCCATACCCTGATTACAGCCTAGTGTAGCCCTAGACGCGATCTCCAAGTACCAGACATTATTCGCACACTGTATCATGTTGTCATCATGCTAGAGCTAAAATGCGCCTTGCAATGCTCATTTTTCAATCTTTTCCCCTTGAAATCACTTCATTCAGCATTCAATCAAGTTCAATACTGATGATTTAAAGTTACCGTTGTGCTATACCATCCTCGATAATGTACTTCATCAAGGGAGAGATGTCCGTTGACTGCAGTGCATTCCTATACGACGCATACGTTGACAAATGCCCTAGAGGTTGTAGACTGATCGAGTGTTAGTCTTTTTTTTTTCCCCCTTTGGCTATTATTCAAAATGGATCGTATATCAATCCCTTGCGATCCACTTTACCTCTCCTTCTACTGTAGTCATCATGCAATTTCAACTCCACTGTAAAACTTGGATCTTCCATTGCGTCTTCGTTTCAGCTAGCGTAGGACATTGTTGTTGTTGTCCAAATTGAACGTTGCAAATGGATGGTTGTTAGTCAAGCCGTTGGGATGAGTGAAATCGGCCATTCCTAACATGGAGTATAAAGTAGATATCCTTGTAAAACGGCGACGTTAAGGTCAATGGATCAGATTTTAGTATAAACGACACTGGTTCAACTTAACAATTCTTCTCTTGGCACTTATCCCCACTTAGTACTAGTTTTGAAAACAGTGGTCAATCAAATTAGTTTATGATAAGCAAAGCGATGCGATGTTGTAAAGCCAAGCGTAAGCAATGGAGAGTCAACAGTCATAAACTTACAGCAATACTGTCCTCCACGTTGAACCGCTATGTAATGTGTATAGTAGACGTACTGCAAAAGATCAAACTCTACAATCCTTCTCCAATGAGTCCAATAAATCTTTGCTACTACAGAGATAACAATGGAAAGGAGTTCATTTTAGAACATTTTGGGGGTCTCAGACTTGTACAGTGGAAGTTTTATTTACAATGTCGCCAATTCCTATCAAAATGTTACTGTATTACAATTTTGCAACTTGGCCAGGATATCGCATAGTGACAGTACTGTCCTGGTCCAATCGTAAACTACAAACCAATGAAAACGGATTCTACTGGCAATCTTCTTTGGATAGTCCTAAATCAATTTCACTATTCTCTTACGCTTCAAAATCGATCCCTTTTAAATCAACGTGAACGGATATTCTACAGTACTCGATACAGCTTGTATATATTTATCGACAACATATACAATACGCGCTGATGCAATTTTAGACTAATGAAGAAACGTAGTCAAAATCAATTTTGACCGGGGTAGGCCAGGGCTATGTATGAACATGTCATGACTCTTTGAAGTTGGCTTTCCATTGGATATCATGGATAAAAATGTTCAGTTGTACATGCAATTACTCACACTACTGTAGCATGCCATTGTCAATGTCTTGGGCGTTGTTAATCCATTTATCTTTACGCAATATAGATCTTAAGTGTACTTTAGGCTTCATCTTAATCGACATTGTCATTTTTGTACAAGAATTTTACATCCATTTTTTCCTCACCGGTAACAATTAATGAACAATTTTACCTTCCATTCAGTCTTAATCATTTTTGTCTTACAAAGAAAAAATTGCAAAAGTTAAAAGGTTAAGATAGAGGAATAGAGCGAATGGGTAAAAAGTCCTGCATGATGAAAGACAGTGTGATATCAATTTCTTCCTTTGTAGCTCTCTTTCAAAACTACTTTTCTCCTAATTTTGGCCATTCTACGATACAGTCTTATTCATGAGTTGACATTTTACTACATCGTCTATAATCCTGATAGAAAAAGTGAAAGTCTAAAATACTACTTCAGTGTTGTTTAGAATACAGAGAAAAGACTTTGGACGTTAAGTCAATACTGGCTACAATCATGGCTTAGGCTTTTCTATCCAATGAGAAATGAATAATCTATTTTTCTGCCGATACTAAGATTACTAAAGGCTAAATAATCTATCGCATTGTATCTTACTACCTAATAGAAAGTTTTTTTTGAAATTCATGTTATGATACGTCTAGATACAACAGAATGGACCAAATTAAGATGTATATGCATACTACAGTACTACACAAACTTCAACAAGTTTAGGAATGATAGAGCAGTACTGTACAGGATTTAATCAATCATACCAAGGACTATTCCTCCTAGTGGTCCTTGATGATACATATTGACGTAGAAGATAATATTTCATGATTGTGTGTAAAGTATATGCTGCTAGTGCATATAGCTGGACTTTACATAGTCGTCTTTCGTCTTCTTAACTACGATTCTGTGCTAATACGTCATTGAAACAAAAAAGAATACTGTACAATAGTTATCTTGTTGTATTTATTGAACGGTGTAATAGAGAGCGTAGCAGTGACCTTCTGGGCAATTTAGAACTAGTGGAAGGTTTCGACAGCTCTCGCTATTCTTATTTTTTACACTGGTATATTTCTATAGTGTATATCTGTAAATTTGTAGCTTTGCTCCTTGCGCTGTATGGATACGTATTAGTATCGCAAAGTTCAAAGAATTGATATGATTTCTGAACATCATCACTAGGCTAAAAAAAGATACTAATTTAAAATCAATTTACACTTAACGTACAATTATCACGACTGTGTTGACAGCGATATTATTGCACTTACGTAGATATCTCTTCATACCCTTCCTACTATATACGATATACCAATATAATGTATACTAGTACAGTGTAGACTAGGATATACAGAAATGGTGCAATTTATTTTTTATCACGTTAGGCCGAATACTTGTATTATGATTCGCTCGCGATCATGGCATCATAAAATTGATTATCCTGTCCTTTCATTCCATTACTTGATTAAGTGAAACTGAAACCAACGCCCTATGAACGTAAAATTCGTCCTTATTGCATACAGTAGGCAATAATCAAGAGATATCCACACATAATAAAATTACTATTATTAAATTTGTCTTTTAGGTAACTTATGTAAATCGTGCCAATGTCATCATGTTAGCTTGACACATGTTTAATTACTTAGAATAGTATCGATGACACACAATACAAGATCGAATAGATATAGCTATAATACCATCTTGCAGGATTGAATGTTAGCTTACTGTTAAGGCTATCATTTTATCGAGAAGGAATACGCATTAGTTAATTTGAAACTCAAGATTAGGACCAGATATTACTATCAATATTGTCGTAGTTAATTATTGAGGACATGTAGATTTCTCTAGAACGTTTCATGTAAATTGTAGTACCTCCATGTAGTCTTATTTGGATTTAATATCTGAGCAGACAACGATAATATTGTCATGTAAAAAATTCTTAGGTAGCATATTTATTCATGGCGTATAAAACTTATAATTATACGAATACGATAGAGTATAGGATCGTTTGCTTCGCCTTTTTTTCTCTTCTACTTGTAATAATGATTAAAATCGCTAGAGAATTATATCTTACAAATTATATCAGATTGGTTAACCTTTATCCTAAGATTGTTTATAATAAATGGATAACGCTGTACATCTAACGTTACGTTGTTTTCCATATCAATTTTATATGCTCTAGTTTAATTGTTTTCCTTGCATTTCTTAGGCTACGAAATTTACCTTTAACAGGTGGCGGCGGGCTAAATATAACTTCACCACCTCGCTCACCGATTTTTGTAGAACAAGAGAGTGGTAAAATAGTTTATAATAAAGAAGAATTAATACAATATTATAAGAAGGTAAAAGACATCCCGCGAGTATTAGAGAAATGCCCGGTACTATTACATCCAGAACCGCTATTGCCCATGACTATGATACCTCTATCTGAAGAAGAGCAGCGTAATGCTGCAAGCGTTAATAGTGCCGTAGCACTCAGAATGACTGGTCGTGGCGGTAGCCATCCTCGTGGGCGCGGTAGTGTCAGAGGAAGAGGTAACTTTCATTACTTTTATCGCAAGACATGAAATTCAATGACTGCTATAGTAATAGGCTACTTTATATGCTTCAAATTGCGTAATATCTACAATTTTTTAAACCAATAATCTACTAAAGATGTAGTATGCACATATCTGCTCTCGATACTGTTTTGTTATCACTTAATTCTCAATTTTTAGATCAATACCGTTGTATACGTACTGTATATATATTATACACTTATACAGTATATGTACCGTACCATACATAGATTGGTTAATAAATTTCGACATTTTTGAATAGATTTTTAATTTTAGTAAAGTTCTTATCCATACAGTATTAGAACACGTTAGTATTTTACTTGATGTTATTAAGCTATAGTAAAATCTTCCTTTTCCGGTTTTGTTTTTGTTTCAGGTCGAGGTCGTGGTGATGCTTATTATATACGCACTGGTAGCGATGACGGTAACACCAGCGGACATCCTACTTTTACACGAAGTCGTAGTGGTGAAGGCAAATCATCCTGGGATATTGAAAGGTAAGAGATTTTATTGGCATTATGATTAAATATTATACGTAGTTGTAGTTAATATAAATTAATTTAGTACATGATTTTACATAAGTATTATATACATGTATAATTTGATAGATCAGATCATCAGATATTTTTATTCGTGAAATCTTGTAAGGCTATTGTTGATTGTTTTAGTCATAGCCCTATACTTTCGATATCAACAGCTATAAATAAATTGATCAAATCACTGTAACAATTGACTTTTTATATTATTATTGCCCGCCTTTATTCCATATGTCACAAGTCCACGAGATGGTAAGTCTTTTCTATTGTAAGCAATAGAAATTTGTAATAAATTAGTGATGTAGTGAGTGTGTTATGCTTGGAATCATTTTAGTGCATTGTCACATTCATACAGTACTATTGATATTAGATACATAATAATTTTTATTGTAATCTTTAGGTCAAAATAAACAAGAAAATAATCGGCCAGTAAAAAATAGCTGGAGATCTGAAAGCTTAACTTCAGAAGATGACAATGGATGGAAATTTGCTGGTCGAGGCAATAATCCAAATAAGTCTCCACGTGTACTAACTGGTAGTGGCAACTGGAGAAGTAGTAGTTCAGGTATTTAGTTATTACAAATTTTGATTGATAATTTTTCTGACAAAAATTTCCGCTGAAATTAATTGTACGTGCAACCAGTATTGTATTAATTAAGATTAAGATAATAATTGTTAACATCAAGTGTGCATATCTAAACAAAAACCAAAAGTACTTAACAGTAGACGTTTTTAGAATCAAGAACATGGAATAGTAGGACAAATTACCAACAAAAAAATCACTACAGTAATGATGATTCGTATGATTTACCGGAATGGAGCCAGGATGGCGTTGACGACATTATTGGAACTTTCGATGGTTCTGGGGCATTTTGCTCTCAAAAGGTATCGAAGAAATTATAGATAGGATTTAATTTCTTCTTACTAAGGCTTAAAACTCTATCTTCAGATGGAAAGTGGTGAAATAGAAACATTCGAGAGTGATAATAAGAGTGGTATACAAGTTGAAGCGGAAGAAAATTCAACGGTAAAAGCTAAAAATTTTAGACCGTGTGTAGTTTATTTCATCTAAGAATATTGAAGTCCGTCGTTGATATCAATCATGTACCATTAGTTCTACCATGAATACATTGTATGTTCCATTTATCGCTCTAACTGTGTACTTTTCTTTGTATTTTATAATGCAGACAAATGATATCAAAGAATCTGATAGGCAACAAGGAGTAGTAGATGGATTAGGTATTTAGCAAGATATAATAAAAATAGATATGATAATAAACTAAATGTAATGTATCGTTTAAAAATGATAGTTTGAACCAATATTAAAAATTTAATATATTTTCGGATGGTTATGGTTGTTAGAATACGTTGCTCCTGTTCGTGACGATTTAAGATCGACCGTAAAAGATAATGTTAGTGCAACAATAGATGATAACAAAGATTTAGAAGAACATCTACCTGAATCTCTTCGCTTAGCAATAAGTGACGATCAGCTGCCGGAATCTTTACGTAATGTTATCGAACAACTAGATACAGAATCATGTAGTGCGAAAACGACAGATAATGTTCGTGAAATTTTTTCAAGTTGATATTCTCGAACGTTAGCCCATGAATCTCCACCTTTATAATTCATATTTATTACCTATAGCATCAACAACAAGTTGTAGATAATAATGCAAGCAGGAATGATATGTCGGTCAGTTTGCAATTGTGACATAATAGATTTTTTAAAATTTTTGATACGGAGTTCGTAACGTTACATTCTAAATTGTGTAGATGAGGATAGATAATATGGGGAAAGATGGTAACTTAGTAAGTGAAGATGAAAAATGGCTTTATCAGGATCCTCAGGGCAAATTACAAGGTAGATTTTATTGTAAATTGAATGAGGTAAATGCTTAGTTGGTGGTTTGACGTAATCAACCTTATCCATTAGGCCCATTTGGAAATAATGAAATGCTAGAGTGGTTAAAAGCGGGATTCTTCGCTCCTAATTTGCCAGTCAAAAGAGCATGTGATGACTATTTATTGCCTTTAGGTTGGTTCTCATCTGTAATCGAGTTAGCAATTAGTTTCTTATGTTAACTTTTATTCTCTAAAAGTAATCTATAATACTTACAGGGAAGGTTATTAGAATTTGGAAGAGGATTCCTTTCCAACCTGGTCCTGCGCCTCCTCCATTCAAGGTATCTTAAATTTATTCAATTTGATACCACAACCTTTTATATTTGATATATAGGATATTCTTGCTTTCCATAAATTGCTTAAATATGCGTCAATCTATAGATCAGTCAAGAACAAGTTATACAACATCAGCAGTATCAACAACCACAACATCAACAGTCCCAGCACCAACATCAACAATCTCAACATCAACAATCACAACATCAACAACAACAACAAATGGCTGCTATGGCTGCTGCAAAGGAACAGCGACTATTTTTACAAAGACAATTAATGGCCCAGAAGTTGATGCAGCAGCAACAACAACAGCATATGTATCAACATCAAATGATGTTATATATGCAACAGATGCATCTCCAACAACAGCAAATGTCTCCAGAGGCATTAAATATGGCTTTACAACAAAATTCACAGAACCCTACAACTGTTGAATCTGAATCTGATAATCGAATGGAATCTCACGAAAGTAATACAAATCAACAAAAACCGAAATCGGGTATTGAACGAAGTGACGTTACACGCTATTGTATTGTGTAATTTAGACCAGTATCTAATTAAAATTGCTTTTAATAATAGCATGGAATATGACTCAAGTTAAACCAGCTGATGCTTGGAACGGATCTGAAAGGTACCGTAATGTATCTTGGTCAATCACATATTTTGATTATTGATTTTTAGTACGAATATTTGTAAAAATATCATTATTATGCATAGTAACCAAAGTGAACATAAAGTACCGGATAATCAGGTATTAGACACAACCATTACTGTTGCATACAGATCTAAGGAAATCTGTTCGTTTTATCCGTAATAACAATACGCTGTACAGTATATTGTTAGCAGAAATTGACAGCCGTTTATAATACTACAGGATCAACCAGTATCTATATCACAGTCTCAACTAGAAGAGGAGTGGGTAAAGAATGCAGAAGGACGCAGAGAAAAGCAAACTCAGCCAAATATGGCAATTCTTGAGGAGAGTCAGTCACTAGCGAAACAACATCAACAGCTTCAATCTGCAGCAAGCTCTGCGAGACAAGCTTCAATTAATATGAACATTAGTCATGAACAATGGAAAATGACTTCTGCCACTTCTCCAGTTTCCTTAGCGCAAATACAAGCCGAAGAAGCTAGGCGAATAGCTGAAGAACAGGTACATAATTGAATTACAGGTTTCACTAGACTTTATGAAATCTTATAATTGGAATATTCGTATTTAACAGCGACTACGCCAGCAGCAAGTGCATCTACAGCAACAGCAAACTGATCAAAATAGAAGTTTTGTTGGAAATTGGGTTTCTAATTCTCGGTAAGTAGTGTGTACCCATTCTTTACTTTTTCATAATAACAAAATTATCAATGCTTTATTATATATTTTTTTGCTGGATTATAATTATATCAAATATACTAGCAGCAGTAGTGATGGAATGTCGAATAGTCCGATATCTTTGGTTGATATCCAAAAGGAGCAATCGTCGCGAAATGAAGAAAAATTACGACAACAACAAATGGTAATAAAGTAGTATTTTATATGATTGTTGATTTATCTTACTAAACTCATTGCTATCTATTTGCGTATCAGCAGACATCTGTTTCCTCTAACGTGACCCGGACGTCTGGCTGGGGATCATCACCAATGGTCCATCAGAATGTTAAAGTTCAACCTACATCAGGCAACAGTGGTCCAATAAACTCGGGCTTACTTGGTCAGGTTATTTCGTCAAGAGGATTAACTAACGAAACCGTAAAAACACGCAATCCTTTGGATGAAACGACATTAGTTAATCGTCCAAATCCCTCTCTTCAATCATTTTTTCACCCTGATATTTCTAACAAGTTAGTTTTTAATTACTGTAAATGTGCTTCATGTTGAAATAATTTGAAAATGTTTAAATACATCAAAATATTTTTCTGTTCTAGATCTGCATTTCCAGAACTTTCAACCAACAAACAAGGTGTAAAAACTTCTCAAGAGAGGGTAATGACATCTTGCAACTTATTTCATTGAATATTTGTAAATGTGAAATGTAACGTTTCTGCTTTAATGTCAGGGTGATGTTACTCGAGTCTCTAATACAGCTTATAATCCAGAAAATGCATTGATTCAATGGTGTGAAAGACGTTTAGCTGGAATTGAAACAACTATTGATAGTATGTGTATTATCATATTATAACCGTTATCGAATAATTTGTTACTACTTTATTATGTTACTGAAACAAGCTACCGGCCAGTAGTATAATGAACTTTCAAAGTTACGGATTCATTCCTATAATATTTTTTTTTCACATAGTCCCGACATTCGCTAGATTCATTTCATCTTTAGGATCTCCTGCCGAGGTATTTACGTTGCGATACTTAATAGTAACGATGTATTAGTATTTTATCGTATCTTGTATCATCTAACTAATACCACTTTATCGGAAGGTTCGCGATTATCTTAAGATGTATTTGGGAAGTACAGAAGAAGTAAAGAATTTTTTCAATGACTATGTTAGGAAAAGACGGGAATGTGAATCGGTTAGAATTATTCATGTTGTATTTTTTGATCGATATTTTTTTAACACACTAAGTATGCTTTTCATATTAAAAGCAGCAATTTCCAAAAGCCTCACCTGGTAACATGAAAGAAACAACTACAGATATGGAGCCATCAGTAAGGAGTGAAACTCGCGAGGAATCACAAGTCGAGGTTAATTAAGAGAAAGCGTATTTATTTGTATGACTGATCAGTCAGATAGCAATTTTATAAAATTTGATTAACAAATCTCTTTCCTTGGACAATCAGGCAAACGAATCACCATCGCCAACATCTAAAAGTAACAACTCTAGTAATGCCAATAATTCGAATAAGAAAAAAAAGAAAAGGATGCAAAAAGTTGATCCAAGTATATTAGGTTTTAGCGGCAGTTCAGGAGATCGAATTAATCAAGGTGCCATCCAGTCATTGCGTGATGTGGAATATTAATATTGCAATTATCATGCTATCATCATTAAATATTTTACAGATAGCTTACTACATTTTCATTCAATTCATAATTCTTATCCATCAATAATTAAGCCTTATCGTATCATATTAATGATAACGTATGAATTGAATTCTGATCTATCTAATACGAGCGAACGGCACTTCTTAACAAGATAAAACTTTACAGCTAGTATCAGCCGCAAGAGCAATAAAATGTTGTATATATAATAAATATATATATACAGGATCTGTAAACAAATTTACATAAGACAACATCATTTCTACAAGTTAAACTATTCAATAAACATATTAGTTGATTTACATTTCATGCTGTTGGATGATTATCGATATTTGGCAATACTCATTTCAGATTGCTATTTAATAGGCTAGAGTAAGTCCATCAACAAAAGCAGTTATTTCTTGTATATTTAATATACAGTATAAGTGAGCTGGTGATAGATTATACGTTAGTCTTTAAAGTAAATGTAAGCTGTGCCGATCACCAATTTAGCAGTCTTAAACACAGCCATATTGTAAATTGGGGTTTTCACCTAATGTCTATGAGGATAATGACTATGATGTCTTTGACAATCGAAATTGTTTAAATGATACTTTGATACTATCATCTATCAACTCAAATAAGGCTGCATTTGGACCAGACCTTAAAGCAATTGCTTCTGCTGATTCTTGGCAGCTATTGATTGCTCGACTATCACATAAGCTCACTTTATTTAATAATAACATTTCGATAGTAGAACGCGCTTCACCTTGCCCTCTTGATGCAAGATGCAACGGAGTTTGACCACTTCCAGTCTTTGCGTTGATATCAGCGCCAGCTTGTAATAGCAGTGAAGCGATATCAGTATGAAACCAGTGACAAGCGCAATGCAATGGTTGCCAGCCATCATTGGTCTCAGCTGAGATATTTGCACCGCGTTTAATTAACATCTCAACTATTTTGATACCGCTATGATTTCCTGCAGCTCGATGTAACGCTGTGTAACTAGCAATGAAAATAAAATTAAAGTTCGTTGTTAGTTTATTAGGTCAACTATGAAGTTAGTACGAATTTTAGTTTTGCTATTCTTAAGTTTTCATGGACTCTTTACCCACTGTAATTGACATAAATCAAGGTGAAAGTATTGTACAGCATATAAAGAAGGTAGTTTTTTTTGGTGTTAATCTATTTTATATTCGTATTCTATTCATTAGTTATAATCATTCAATTTAAAATACTGTAAATACAATTAGGATTTAATATTTTTGATAGAAACAAATCCTATCTTGATTGTTTCCTTTTACAATATTCAAACAATCAATGCTACAAGTCTATTAGTAATTAGGCAAGTCTTACCCATCACTATCCGTATAGTGTATGATATCGTTACATCGATCGAGCAGTTTTTGCACTAAACTTTGATTAGCATATTCCGCTGAAGTTAATAAATAGTTTCCAAGTCGGTCATTTAAATTGGTATCTTCAGGACATTGTCCTTGATCGATTTCGTTGAGAAGTTGATTGATGCAATTTACAGTATCTTCACTCATGAATTCATCTTGATCATCATAATTTGAGCTACTATCTGGATATTGTTTAGACGTCGAATGCACGTTGAGTAAAGAGGAAGTATTGGTCTGATTGAAGGGATAACGATGCTGTGAGTATTGGGTATTATTTATCTTTAAAATATCACCAGGTACGAATCCATCTTGCATCGTTAAGAGTTGAGAAACAAGTCGTTCATGTTCAACTTGCTCCTCTGTATTAATATGATCTTCGTCACTAACTGTCTCCACAGCAACGTTACTATTCCCTTCATTTCGAACATGTAATACTGGATTATTGGATTGATCGTTTCGATGTAGATTTGATTGACTGTCGTGGCTATCCAATGAATCCATGACAGCAACGTTGAATAATTCTAATAGATTGATTTGCGCGTCTCAGGCTTGCCTACTGTACTATATAATGCGTGTATCGTCCAAGGTAATATAACTCTACTTTACTTGGTTCTCATTTCTCTAACTGCTCAAGGAGAAACGGCAAGCATCGCCTCAAGAAAAATCTTGAAAAGGATCTTCCTGATCTCGGGCTTTGCTGCTGTTTATCAATCTGGTTAGAGGTCTGGAGAGAACTCTCTCCGGTAGGATCTCTATGGAGACCAGCGAAAGTGACTGTTGGGCCTGGCCTGGTGGAGGAAGTGACATACTGTGTTTAATCGTTACCGTAATAATACAGCGAATACACCATGCATAGGAGTGATGTATAGTACAGTATACAGTACCATAGTTATACCATAGTAGCAATGCGTATTCTTGCGAAAGTGATGTCACCTTAGATGGTCATTTCCTAAATGATAGGGACACCACTAGTGACATCATTTTTGCTAGCAATCGGGCGATAGAGTACTGAGTGTACAATACCATACAGCAGTGTAATGGCCATCCGTATCACTTAAGCCTAGGATTAAGTTAACAACTGATGTTAGGTTTGAAATGGTTGCAAAAAAAATGTCATGGCTAGTGCCAACAGAAGTGGAAATGAATTGCTGCGGGTGACATAATATTTTTTTTTAATCAAAATATAGATGAGACTCTAGAATTGCAGCTCCAAGCTCGAAAATATTTTCATCCGTCCTTATTCTTGTATAACATACTACTATTGCTACTATTTTATACAGATTAACAAGTTTCTACTCGTATACAGAATCCTAGACAGGTGCAATGTCTCTGTTAAGACAAGCTATCTAATGGCTATCATGATTGCACATTGAACACGGCAGAAGTAGGTCATAATCGCTAATGCTATCATTTTAACTATTTCTATCGATTGCACGTAGTGCAAAGTTAATAGTGTCCATAGTTGTAATGCTTTTGATCTGAAATGTTCTGATTTTATAATATTAGCTACAGTGTCCACTGTACCATGGGCTACTAGCGATTCTAGCACCTCCACGACAGTCTATAGTGTGCACTCACTTCGGGTCTAGTGGCCATTTCTTGTTGGAAAAATCGGTCACCCTATTGGACTGCTAGCTTGAACGATCACTTATTGACAGTGGTGCAAAGGTAACTTAAAAAAGTAAGCTTTCCATTGGACAGAGTAATCGAGAGTTTAGGTCATGTCCAGGTGATCAGTTAACATCACCATTCCCTGTTAGCTACATCAACTACATACTTCATAGATCTTACGTATTCATTTGTTCTATGCATCATATTTTGCAAACTTTGTAGCATATCTGTACGTAGATCATTCACGTTTTGACATCTGCAATGCAGTTGATTATCGCTATCGAAAAAGAAAATTGGAGCGATTAAGGATCCAACTACTACTGCAGTGTCTTGTAGCAGCCATCAAAGTCGACGCGGATTGCTGGTCTATATTCAGTAGTAGTGACCAAACACGATATCACGTCTGGTCAATAACCTATAAGTAATTAGCCTATCGTAGGCAGCTGTTCTATCCAAGACTACTGTATTCTATGTTTCACTATAGTACTCGAAACGTACACGAATACTGACTACCACTACTGTTACTACAGCAACTGCAGTGGCATCCAGCCAAGAAGGCATTTCCAGCCAAATAGCCAACCAAGAAGGTTTTTCTAGCCAAATAGCCAGCCAAGAAGGCATTTCTAGCCATATAGCCAGCCAAGAAGGCATCTCTAATCAAATAGCCAGCTAAGAAGGCATTTCTAGCCAAGTAGCTAGCCAAAATAGCCAGCCAAGAAGGCATTTCTAGCCAAATAGCTAGTCAAGAAGGCATTTCTAGCCAAATAACCAACCAAGAAGATTTTTCTAGCCAAATAGCCGGCTAAGAAGGCATTTCTAGCCAAATAGTCAGCCAAGAAGGTATCTCTAGTCAAATAGCTAGCCAAATAGCCAGCCAAGAAGGCATCTCTAGTCAAATAGCTAGCCAAATAGCCAGCCAAGAAGGCATCTCTAGTCAAATAGCTAGCCAAATAACCAGCTAAGAAGGTATTTCTAGCCAAATAGCTAGCCAAATAGCCAGCCAAGAAGGTATTTCTAGCCAAATAGCCAACCAAGAAGGTTTTTCTAGCCAAATAGCCAGCCAAGAAGGCTTTTCTAGCCAAATAGCCAGCCGAGAAGGCAATTTCTAGCCAAATAGCCAGCCAAGAAGGCATCTCTAGTCAAATAGCTAGCCAAATAGCCAGCCAAGAAGGCATCTCTAGTCAAATAGCTAGCCAAATAACCAGCCAAGAAGGCATTTCTAGCCAAATAGCTAGCCAAATAGCCAACCAAGAAGGCATTTCTAGCCAAATAGCCAGCCAAGAAGGCATTTCTAGCCAATAACCAACCAAGAAGGCATTTCTAACCAAATAGCCAGCCAAGAAGGCTTTTCTAGCCAAATAGCCAGTCAATTGCGTAGAAGGAAATGCTCCTCAGCAATTCTATCATCACGTAGAATTAGCTAGTGGTAACTACCTGGTGTTTACAGTATTACCGAACGATAGAAAGAATGATCAAATTATAACCTTGGAGATGATGGATAAAATGGAGTCAGATATAGATAAAAATCAAGTGCTATCCTATCATGAATTTAGCCATCATCAAGTTATCCGTGGCTCAGCTGAGCCATTTGCTGTAGCTTGTAGTTATGATTATATTTTTGTATCGATTAAATCGTGCCAGATTGATGTCTACGAATTACAAAATCCTCATCCACTTCAACAACAGCAGCAGCAGCAACAACAACAACATCATCATTCTACCATTAACGTTGTTTATGCATTTAAAACTGCAGCTGTAGCTACCATCTTACAATATTGTCAAGTTGGTAATTATGTCGCCACGATCGAGCATGATTATAGTCCTAAATCAAAATTACCCGATGTTGCTAGGATTTATTTCAATTGGATCTCAGATGATATTAGTCGATCTCTTCATGTACGCAAATTAGATCAAAATCAGTATTATCGATTACCATTTGATCATGATAAACGTGTTATGGCTATTGAATTAGTACGCCATCAGCATTTAGTCAATTTATCATGTTGTCAAACTACTGGTAATATTGCTATCGCCATGGATCATGCAATCATGGTATTTGTCTTAGTTCAAGTGATTCATCCTGTCCATCAAGGTGGTGATGCAGTCGTTTATGAACCACAACATGCTATGGATATTCAATTACAACACGCTAATATTATCCATCTTGTCTTGTGCCAAAATTATTTGGCTTTGATAACACAGTATGAGTTTCAAATTGTTCAATTACATTTCTACCAGACCAACAATAATGGCCAACAGCAACAAGATCAATCTATCAATAATTGCAAAAATGATGACAACGATCCTAAGCAACATCATCATCAGCGCTCTTTACCAATCTTATCCAATCATCATGAACGCCAACTCATGCTACAAAATGCTAAACAATCCTCAACAACCATTGAAAAAGATCCTAATTTTGTTCAACTCGATTTAACAAGCTATCGTAATGGTGATGATAGCTTACAGACATTCTATCCATGCTATGTTAGCCAAAAAAATCATGCCGATCAATCCAACGATCCATCTCCATCGGTTGCAACTGTTATCTTACCTCATTTATTACGAAATCAAATTCGTTATGGAAATCATTACGATGGCATTAATTGCATTATTGGCCCTATAGTCCATGCTAAAAATCAAATCTTCAATGTTACTATCGATCCCACATATCAAAATTCAAATGATGTCGATGTAACTATTCTACTGTATAAAAAGTTAATGCATGGTAAAAATGACACCAAATTAAATACAACATCATTAAGATACATTTCCTTATTACCAACATATCGTTCAGGTAGGGCTTAACTAACCACTTGATCATGAGTAAAAAAGCACTATCAGAAAATTGTAATAATCATTACATGATATTGTACGTAGATAGCGTCAATGATACACAGTGAAAAAATGATTGAATCTTATAGAATAAATAGTAATAATACTACATGATGATAAGTATTGTACACCTATCGAAAGCTTTCTGTAGCTTCTTTAAATACTTTAACTGAAGATCCATTTAATATCAACTACATGCTGAAGAGAAGAGCGCCGCATAGCGTATTACTCTTTTATATCTTGGACTGGTTAAAAAATTATCTTATTACAATTCATAAATTCAAACAGCTTCTCTGAATATTTATTTAATATTGCAAAATAGACATACTGTAACTACATCAATAGATTGAATATTACTACGTAATATCTTACTCTTTATGTACTATATTACATGCAAGTGGCAGTATCATAATCTAAAAATTAAAATAGATTAGCTAAATATCTATTTATTTATATACAATACTACATAACATACCATTCTTTATACATTAGATTAGATACAAATAGCAATAATGTATCTATAAATTAAATAGCTTAGTTAAGCATCTACGTATTTGTTGCTACTAGATTGACATACGCGTATGACTAATATAGCAGATTTACAATTAATGTATTAAATAACATACTGTACAAATCGACAACAACATAATCCTTAGTAATATATTTCAAATAGCTTAGCTGAGTATCTAGTATCACGAGATAATAGACATAAGAATAACTCAAGTGTGTTAAAGTAATGTATAATTTACCCTATTAGGGATGCAATAGAATTAATATATAATCCTTAATCTAATATTAAAATGCCAAATCATTTTTAGAGCACTGCTTGATTGATGCTGTATGATTGACCAAGGGTGAATTTTCTATGTACTCATGCAGGTAAAAAAGAGGAAGATACGAGGACGCAAAGCAATCTACATAACTTATTTAGTTCATCTAGCTGTATTATATGTGGCATAACTTGTTTTGTGTCTACCAACAATACTGGATATCACTATAATTTAACGGATGGTATTAATTTATTATCGCAGTATCAATATCCTAATGATATAATTAGCGTTGATATCCATCAAAATTTACTCTATGCCATTACTACTGATACAGTTATGGTCTACAGTATTAAACTACATGCCAGTGCATCGCCAGATACTCGTTATCGAATTCCATCCCTAAAATCAGATACACATATAACACAACAAATAACGAATGATACATCTAACCAACCTATAACTGAAACGATTAATCCCTATGAATTACCTCTACTCGATAACTTTACGTGCTCATTAGGTGTACACCGATTTTATTCCCTGACTAAAATTGTTACCTACGCTGACAGAGTCATCTTACTTTCCAAATGTATCGATAAAACAGTCAAGAAAGCCAGCAGGTAATATTCCATGAATTAACTATTAATTTCTGTTATATCAGATATCTCTTTCAATTAAAATCTATGTATCACTGATGATTGAATATACAGTTAATATCATGTATTCTTTATTTTTACTCCAGTGGAATGAATTGGGGAGTTTTATCACCAGCCAAAACTGTTACCACTTCTAACGTCATCAGCTGGAATATTTATACAATTTACAACTTTCCTATGACAAAACTTGCTTCGGATATGGTATGAAATTCATATCTTTATCGCTGAAGCACTCATTCTAACTTTTAAGATCCGATTATGTCGATGTGAAGCTTTTAATGTAGTAATGTAAAATCTAGTATCACATTGAAGTCCTGGTTTAATCCAGCTATAAATAGTATTATAGTATTGTCTTTGGCTAAATTGGACAGATTGTCATACTATGTACATATTAAAATCTACTGTACTATAATTTAGTATTTTAGTACTGATATATGCAAACGACTCATAAACTGTAGTTGAAAGGGTTGCTTGATCTTGTAACGATGTATTCAATTAAAGTTGAATTATGATTGAATATCCATATCATGCGGCAAGATTCTTTACCATTAATCTTGAATTGAGAATAAATAAAGTATTAAAATATTTTATCTTTCGGTACTCTTTTAGTTGAAAGCGGGATTGACATTTAAAGAAAGTAGTCCTTTAGCCTATCAAGATCTCATATATCAAAGCTACTCAATACTAAGAACTCAGGTATTGTTAGAATTCTTTCGTTTTAGCTATGGGCGAGATATATAATCAATCGCTCATTACAATTATTTTTACAACTTGGAATATACCTACCTATGTTGTTGAATAATACTGAATAGCCTTGATACTTATTCAACATATGTAATACTAAATGGATGCCGTGATTACAGCTACTTAGTATGCTATCGCTATCTTCCTTGATTTACATGAATGATTTACATTTTGAGGATGGTAAGTCATTGTAAGAGCTATATCTGTTATTAGATTTTTATGTATGTAAGTATGTGTTATTGAAGCTAAGGGCTAATTTAATTTCGGAATTATTTTATAATTTAGAATTAAATGAATTAATGCTACCCCTTAGAGAAATGTGTGCATTGCTTGGTGAAAGTTGTTGCAGGTATCGCTTAATCCTTTACCATTATACTAATTGTATGAGTGCAATTTTGCTACTCCATCTGCAGTCGCACATGTTGCGAAGAATTTTAATTTTACGATTCATTTTTATGAACAATTTGCTGTATTATGATTCTT